CGTTGGTCGTATCCTAAGTAACTAGGTGCCTACACCGCCGGGGGCCATGTTACGACCAACCTGTAAAATATAGCATAGTGCGGGTATTGCAGCGGTATCATGCGCGTTAGCACTTCTTCGCCGCCCCGCCAGTGAAAGTACCATAACTGTCAGACAGACTTACTGTGAAATATTTCCATTACAGCCATAAAGCAGAGCTCTGTTAATCTTACTCTCTTCAAAAGTGCAACAAGTTATAAGAATCTTCTCTAAAGTGTATAGACATTACCGTGTCCCAGTGTATAATATATTTTTCCTGTGGAATTATATAATTCCTACGTACCTGCGTGCCAATCCAAAAACCTAATAGGAAAGTAAGTATTTTTACCATAAAATAAAAGTAAGTAGGTAATCTAAAAAGGCCTAAATAGCTACAACATACTTAACAAGAATTTACTGTTTCTATTCGTAAGCTCTCGTTCGTAAGCTTACCTACTATAGACTAACTAAAATTTATTACGATTGGAGATAAAAGAATATTGTAAAGTACGATTTTAAAGATAAAATGAACATTTATGGGGTAGGGTAGGTTTTTAGCAAATCGTTGATGCTACAGCGCTACGAACAAAGGTTTTTTGTTAAATTTCTAATGGCAACACAAACTCGGAACAACACAAAAACAACTTTTTATGTGCTACTTATGTAAATGTGAATGTCTACTTGAATTAAAATATAATACAATCTTAGTGCTTACCGTACAAAAAAATTCGAACATTTGTAACCAAGCTATTACTTGATCTAGGATTGTCATCTTCAAAAACACAAAATTAAGAATTAGATCGGCGATTTGTCCCTAAAAACCGGACTGGGCCTCATTCTAGCGTGATTCTGTAAACTTAAAGGTAAATTAAGAAAAAGGATGGTAGACCGATGTCTGCCAATAACAGCCTACCCGCAATTACTTCAGTTACTCCGTGATCATAGCGCTTGCAACAGTGCCGAAATATCGGAAACTCGATAAAAACAAGGTACATGGTAACAATCCCGTAAATAACTTATATTACTAAAATTAAGAAAAATCTCAATTTCTTGAAATTGTTAGTGTTCGTGTGCGATTGTTTATGGATTTATATATATTATGTGTATTGTGAGTTTACCAAAGAACTATGCCGAATAAAGAACTGTCAAGCGTGAATAGTACCCCTAGCATGAACCATTATCGAATTCGAATAGTTTGCAAACCGAAATGTCAATGTCAAATTTTGTATGGAAACTTGAACAGCAGCGGCACAAAGTACGTAACGAGAACTAAAAATCAGTACACATTTGACAATGACATTTCGGACTCGGAAACGATACGAATTCAATATTGGTTCGTGCTAGGGGTACTGATATTATAATTTCGAACCCCATCCCGACACGTAACTGAAATCAGAGCTAAAATCTTAGCATTTAATAACTAGAAAAGGCTATTCGCATTCGAACATTGTTTAATTAAAATCGTGGAACCGGTAACAGGAGGGGGAATGAAAGAGTAATTACTCTAGAATCTACATAGAGCAATAGGTACCTATCTACAACCGACTACAATCCCGTCCTACGTTAGAATTTCTCAGCCATCAACTAATTAAAGAACACTGCTGTAAAATGGCACACTCACGACCGTTACGGAAGATTTAAATTACAAATTACCATCCTAAGTCCTTCTTTACGCTCAAGCTAGGGACAAAAAATCACTACGTTTTACACAATTAGCCAGATTAGGATTTCACAACAGGGAACAACTTTCACTAAGAGAATCGTTCTTATATTCATTTTTTTTCTTTGTTTCATAGAAAAATCTTTATTGCAATATCACCAATTTATAAATCACCCTGGCCCCAGCCTAGCTGGCTTAAATTGACCACAACGATAAGATACAAGCTATACCTATACCTTATCGTGGTGGTCGTGGTTTTCTATGAGACAAAGAAAAAAAAGCGTGTGTGCTTATGACCACACGACTGAAGTGAAAATCTTGATGCGTGGCTATCCACAGACGTGCGTTTTTGTCGAAATTTCCAATTACCAAGTACGACAAAACTGTGGAATATATTGTCGCCAGCAATGTTTCCGGATCAACACGACTCAAAAACCTTCAAAAAAGAGCGTACTCCTTCCTTAAAGGCCGGCATCGCATTTGTGATACTCCTGGTGTGTCCTGGGCGACGGTGATCACTTACCATCAGGTGAGCCGTCTGCTCGTATGCCCCCTATAACATAAAAAAAAATCTTTAGCCCCAATGATCTGAAAATCATATAACTTAACCTGACGATTTGTTGATAGAAAAAAACTACCAATCCACGCTGGGTCCGTTAACATCCACCAATCCGCTGAATCCGCACTGGGTTCGTTATCACCCACAAATCGGGGTCCGATATCACCCTCCTATCCGCACTGAGTCCATTATCACCCACCAATCCGCGCTGGGTCCATTATCACCCACCAATCCGCACTGGGTCCGTTATCACCCACCAATCCGCGCTGGGTCCGTTATCATCCACCAAGCACTAGGTTCATGTATTTTGTGACGGGTATTGTTGTGTACTGATAAGTCACCGATGACACTAATCGTAACGCGAAACCGTAACACATTCGCCAGTTTATCCCCCACCCCTACCTCCCGGCCGGCCTGAACCAATCCCGGCCTATGACTTGGAGCCACAATAAATACTTACTCATCAAGAGAAACACAACAGCAATAAAAGATTGTAATATTTTGGCAAATAACGAGGTTCGTCGCATAGTTTCTTATGTCGCACATGATGTCCATACAAATGTCACCCATTAAGCGTTCAGTTATTGAGAACTAGCGGCCGCCCGCGACTTCGTACGCGTGGAGTTAGTTAGAAATAGGGCTGCCATCCGTCCGGGTTTCCCCGGATTTGTCCTAGTTTATGGGGCGTCCGGGGAGCGTCCGGGCGAGGTTTTATTTGTAGTCCGGGTTTAAAAATTTACGGCAACGCATGAGTGGCCCTTGGTGCTGCAAGTGTCCATGGGCAGCAGTGACCACTTATTATGAGGTAGACCACTAGCTCTTTTGCCTAGATCAACAAAGTTGATTTGTGACATTTTTAACTGTTTTTTATTGGTCTGTCCGGGTTCTGGGCTTCAAAATCCGGGGTTATCACGCGTCTTATCCTGGTTGCCACATTTTAGAGATGGCAGCCCTAGTTAGAAATAAAGGTACATTGCTCGCTCCCCGTAGCTGATAGCGTGATAATATGTAGCCTATATGTTGACCCGACTTCTTAACAATATTCGTGCCAAATTTGAAGTAAATCCATGCAGTAGTTTTTGAGTTTATTCCGGACATACATACAGACAAACAGACAAAAATTCTAAAAACTATATTTTTGGCTTCGGTATCGATTTTAGATCACACCCCAAGTATTCTTTTAAAAAAATATTCAATGTACAGTTTTGACTTTCCTACCATTTTATTATATGTATAGATGAGCAGTAAGTACTCCCTGGCTGGACATGCGGTGCCGGTGGTAAAAACGAAACGATAGCACCAAATCAATTTGCAAGAAAAAATTGGGGTGCTCCAGGCCATAAATGACAAAAAGAGAGATATAAAGAAAACAATATTTACGGTTGGTTTTAGGACATTGTTTATTTTTGTATGCAATAAATGTAATAGTTCTTTTTTATATTACAATAAAACAAATAACATCACTTCAATTACGGACATTCTTAATTTTAAATGCATAACACGCATCCAACCAAACACTCATATCTATGCACCTAGATACCTACAAAAAACTATTTACAATACAAACTGGGAATTTTACTGTCAGATTATAATCAATACAAGTATCACTCTGTTCGCCGACACTGCCTCCATATATCTACCATTATCATACGCGTAAAATTACTAATAGTAGTTTCGGGTTGATCTCAGATTGTCTACTCGCATTGTGACATCTGTGAAAATTTCAACTATCTAGCTATTATTACGGTTCATGAGATCCATACAACCTGGTGGCATACATTTCGGCGATTCATTTTTATATAAAGAGATTTTATACTTAACTGTACTAGTTTAAGTAGTCAATCAACTTATCTAGTCATTTTGCGACCTAGTCATTGTAAGATGTAGTCAAATAAAGATGTCGTAATTTTACGATCTATTCATTATTTTATGTGGTCAAAAAAAGATCTAGTCACTTTGCGATCTTAGGCATTATGCGATGTAGTCAATTAAAGATCTAGACGAAATTATTTGAAGTCATTTTGCGATATAATCATTATTTCATGAGGTCAAATAAATATCTAGCCATTTTGAGATCTTAGGCATTATGCGATGTAGTCAATTAAAGATCTAGACGAAATTATTTGTAGTCATTTTGCGATATTGTCATAATAGGGGTTAGTCATACTGCGACTAGACAATCTAAAATCATCCAGTATTTTCTTGCAGAAAGTGGTATAGTATCATTAATTTATTTAACTGCATGGGTATACTATTTGACGGTTTGAAAAATAAAGTACCAATTTTGGCATGTGTATATAACATGAACAAAGGAAGCGATTTCTTTACTCTGACAAAAAAGGTAGTTGCTAATATTACAAAAATACATGAAATAAAAAAAGTATTTTTTATCTATTGTCACGTGACCGAAAACGCCTAGGATTGGCGGAGCCTAAAATGCGACGTCATATCACACACCTGCTTGTAAACATACTGTTGGAGAGGCATTACTATGTACAGTTTTTGGCGTTTTAATAGGAGCCGTGTGACGTCATCTACCTGTAAACACGCCATTTTGCTAGAGAATCATTTTCGCGGCAAATTTGAAAGGATAATTTTCTTTTTTGTTTTTTTACTGTTATACGAAACCGAATTATAAATATCCATTTATAGAGTCAGTATACACAAATAAATAACGCATGAACGTTTTCAAAAAATTGCCAGAGCCTATTAACTCGTTAAACATCACTTCTTTATTAGTAAGCGCGTTTTGAACACAAAAATTTAGGTTAAAAAAAAAATGGATAGCACTAAATATGACCTGTGCCTTTGGATATTTTTACCTTCATTTAAATTTATTAATGAAACAATAAATACATTATTGGACTTTACTTTTCGTCCAGCTACATTTTCACTTGACATATTAAAAATTAACAACAGTTTGACAAGCACTGGTAATAAATTATATCAACGGCCATAGTCACGAGACGTCAAATTATTCTCATATTTCATTAAGTCTGTTGTTTCACTTGTTATTTCATTCTATTGTTATACCAAAGAAAGTGACGACAAAAACTTTTAAAGTTAACTTGTCTGAGTAGGGCAAAAGATTTTATATTAAACAAATATATATTTCAGGCCGGCTTCATATTAAGTATTTGTAGTTACTTATCTTAAATATTTGTAGTAAGTCTATAAATATTCAAGATATGCTTGAAGTTCTGCTATGTCTTTGGGCATACGGGAACCGTTTGACCTGCGAGGGCATGCCTCGAGGTTGCTCCTTCTTCATTACTGTTATCTCCGAATTCAGTAGCTGATCTAAAGTCTGCAAAGTATATTTAAATAATCAGTATATAAAAAAAAATAACTTACGAATTCTTAAAGCGAATGATAAGGAGCATGCCAAGTAGTGCTTGTGTCACTATTGATATTTTATAACGAAAATACTGCACACTATTTCAATTAAATTTCTTATAAATACTACCTGTCCCAGCGAACTTCGTACCGCCATAAAAAAATAGGGGTTGATGGTAGAAGGGTGAAAATTTAGGGTTGCATATATTTTTGTATGATGTATCATAAAAAATAGAAAATCGGTCGAGCCGTTTCGGACTAGTTCAATTACGCACACCGTGACACAAGAATTTTATATATTAGATCTATCTTGTCCTTTTTAAAACTCAATACTAATTACTCCACCTATTCAATTATGGAAGTTGAATTTGTAATTGCAATTAAGATTTCTTTTTCCGTATATTAAATAGAAAGATTCCGTATATTAATAGTACTTACAAATAGTCTACTATTATAGATAAAGTTCAATTCAAACCAAAAAGTTTTTTAGTATCAAATACATCGGCCCAGTAATAGAAATATTAATTACACACCTGTTGGTCGATTAGATCGCGGTCCCTTAACGCCTTTTCGATATTTTCAAATTCCTCTTTGACATCTGGATTTTTAGACAATTCGACTGCCTGTCGCACTCGAGATATCTGCGATAGAAAATAATTATCAATTATATTTATCAATTATTAAGATAAAAAAATGTTATTATATTAATTAGTTGTCAACTCTTTAAGGTTCAATATACATTGACAGCTTCAACTTCAACAAAATCAAGCAAGATCAAAAAGGCTACTTCAGAGCTTCTTTATGTTATTTAAGACATCCTGCTGTGAAGTAAGGAGTAAGGCCTGTAAGGAAGGCAGACGCTTACTAGTAAGGAAAGCAAGATTTTTTTATTAAAAGCGGATATGTCTCAGACATCAGTACTGAGATCGGTACTGTATAATGTCTACACTAATGATTTTACCCATAACCAGTGCCGTCTTTGACCTATTGGAGGCCCTGGGCATATTAGGATAATGGGGCCCCTATGACTTCCGTTTGGTGATTTAACAAGAACTAAGGATTTTGACAATTTGATCTGAGGGGGCCCCCTTTCGATCGCGGGGCTCTGGGCACTTGCCCAAAGTGCTCACTGGGAAAGACGGGTCTGCCCATAACAGATAATATCTGTTCCACAACACTCATCACCTCTGCTTCTTTTCTGTAGATTATATAATTACACCCTCCATAGGCATAAAAATTTTCATCTGCTAGTTATGATACATGATTATTATAGGACTGGAGGACCCATTTTCATGCTAAAGAACCCACATACTATTTAACGCATTTGCTTATAATTATGATGGAGCTGATCACAAAACAAAGGACAAAAATGACAAATACCGTTTCAGTTATTTACGGGATTGTTACAATGTACCTTGTTTTTAGCGAGTTTCCGATATTTCTATAAAGACAACTTCCCCTTGGAGAAACCTGGTGTCTATAAGATCGATTGCAGCTGTGGCAATTCGTACATTGGCCAAACAAAGCGAACAGTATCATGCCGAATGAGGGAACACATAAAAGCAATCAAGAACAACGATACGCAGAAATCACTGGATTGAATTTCATAACCCACAGATTATCTCGACAGAACGCCACAACATACCAAGATTGGTCAGGGAAGCGATAGAAATAACAAAACATAAAAATTTCAATCGTGAGGACGGGTTTAAATTGTCGAGTGTCTGGAATTCTGTGGTTCGTATGTGTAAATTCTAAATAATCAAAAAAGTGTCGTGTCGCGATCCGTTACTGTAAGTGTTTTGTGTCGAGAACAGTTTCGAGTGAATAGTGAGAATATGAACAGTGGGTCTTGTTTTAGACTATAGTTTGTGATTGACTGTGACCGTGTGTAAAACCGGAAATAATCAAAAAAGTGTCGTGTCGCGATCCGATACTGTAAGTGTTGTGTGTCGAGAACAGTTTCGAGTGAATAGTGAGAATGTGAACAGTGGTACCGGGTGATATATATATGTGCCAATAACAGCCCACCCGCAATTACTTTAGTTACTCCGTGATCATGGCGCTTGCAACAGTGCCGAAATATCGGAAACTCTCTAAAAACAAGGTACATGGTAACAATCCCGTAAATAACATAAATTACTATAATGTTAGTGACCATGAAAGTTTAAAACAATAAATACCGTTTCCTCAAAGAAAGTGTGTTTGCCAATTTGCTCTGGAACATCTATATCTATTACTGCCCGTAGAACTGGGAAAGTATCCTCCACTCGTCCCATGTCTGCTAAGCCCATAACCTAAAAATATAACACCATACATTATTATGAAAAAAAATGCTGTTTATAGTCAGCTAAGAACTCACTGTGTGATTTTTTCCCACACCCGCTATTAAAAATTAACATTGCTTTTAGTACTTGGTTACATAGAATATTGAGCAAATTTTGGTTGTTGTTTAAACTAATATGATAGTATCAAGTGAATGACAACAGAATAGGATACTAGCAACTTAGGTACTGATTTTTTTAAGAAATTTAATGAGTACTTTTAACAAAATAAAAAAGAGTTTTATAATGACTCTAATGTTTTCTTTATTTATTCATTTATTTTGTACACACACAACAAAATATTTGAAAGAAAAGAAACAATTTCATTACTTTACTTTATAAGTGATTTAGGTTTATTTGGAAATAAACTTGCCTTTATATTCCTGACAGTGACATAGTGCTTTTTTTGTGTCGATATGGACTCTAAAGCAATGTGTGGTTTCCCTTGTTTCAGAGCCAGAGCTGTAAAGAAAAAGCTTTTATTAGTATGTACTTGAAATGCTATAAGACATACACACACATAGACCACATTATATATACTTAAAACTAGTTTTTTAACAAATCAAAAAAATAAATGTAACTCTCAATTTAGTCCATATAGCCCTAAGGCAGTTATAAAGAGCTTCAAGCAGTTAGACATTCTCACTAAAGGTAATGTGTCAATATGGGTAATTGTAGGTAACCAATCACTAAATGTTGTAACACCAAGCGTCTATAGCTTGGTGTTGTCATACTTAGTTATTGGTTGCCTACTCTTGTTGTCATTGATAACATAAAGAAATGTTGATCATTGGTTCTTGTCAGTCATTTGTGCTACAATGTTACATGACTTTAAAATTATAAGGATAATAGTATTAGGAAACAGTCACAGTACAACAGCTTAATCAAATAATTATATAAGTAGGGAGGTGTGTTCGAAAAACTACCGCCTCTTGTCATAGTTGTATTTTAAAATGCTAATTGTTTCTTTATGCTGCAAATGATTTATTTCTGCTTAACAAAAATTTTATATTTTCAATTACCTCCACTTTCATGATGAGGATAAAATTCCTTTCAATTAATTAAAGAACTCTTTAATTGATAAAATTAAGGAAAAATGTACCTGCAAAGAAAGTGCTGGTTCTTCTCAGAGGTACTGTACCTATATTTGTCATTTCTGTCCATAACTTTGATGCATATTCCATACTTTCTGGTGTGTTCTGAAAAATATATTGTAACACTGACAAAATATAAAGGTATATTGTAATAGTAGTACATACCTAAGGAAAATAATACTAGAATAAATAGGGGAAGGTGCAGGTTTGAATCCTATCTGATGCCTGGACCACATGGAATATTTTCTACTAAATTTTCTTTACATTTATAAATGTAGTAGTTAAATGCTTAAAATAAAAATATAATGAAGTTGTAAATATATTTTATTTTAACATGTGATTGCTAGATTTTTATTCATATTTAACCCTTAATTTACCTGGTAGGTCCCTGGGACTCCATTGAAAAGTTTAGTTTTTGGAATTTCAAATTGTGCGTTCCAATACCTTCACGCAGTGACGCTCCGAGTGCGGGGTAGAACGGACTTTGCCGTGCGCGGCTTCTATCGGTAAGTAATCACGCTAGTGGAGTCCGTGGGACTCCAGCGGGGTATCAATGTTATAGTTTTAGTCTATGTACGGTATTTTTTACTATGATTTTTTTTACTTTCAGTTGATATAATGGCGTCTCGTAGTTGTATAAACGTCCTTGATGAAGATGCTTGACTTCATATATAGACGACTTCATATATTTGCCATAGTTGTACTAAGCCTGTGTGCCTTAGCTGTACAAAAATTATGCAATAACCATGTCATCAACCGTGACTAGCAGGTCTTGCACGTTTTTTTGTTCTTGTTCAAACCATGTTCTTTTTTACTTTTTATAAGAATTATTTATATTTTTGTTATATTTCTTTGAAGATTACTTTATAATATTGATTTGTTTTTGAAATGTTGACATTAGAAGATAGGTGTCATAATTTTGTTACAAAAAGTGCGATTATCTAAAAGTTCATTAATAAAAGACTGTGATTGTATGATTTTAAGTAAAAAGTTAAGATAATGTAAAACCAAATATATAAAAAGCAAATTAAACTAGCATTTCATTTTAAAAAATGGTTTATTTCCTATTATATTTACGATTTAAAACCCGGAAGTCTTGGGGACTACACCGGGTAAAATGTGTATGTATAAAGTCACCGGGTAAACCAAGGGTTAAAGAAATTTTTTGCTAGATTTTTCTTAACTTGGCAGGCAATACTTGGCATGAATAATGGTCAGAGAATTTATTGATGATGAACCAAAAAAAATACATAGTAACCTTAAGCATGATCCACTCCTTGGACCTATTTTCAGCATGCAAATATTTGTGAATTAATGTAAGATTCTCACATACAGGCGCGCGTCGGAGCGCGGCGCATTTTACAATTTGCTGATGGAAATTGAAACATCCACAAAATAGTAAATTTAGACGCGCGCCAGTAAGTGCGAATCGAAAATTATTAAGAACAATCTTTGAGTAGGGTAATATATTGTCTATGAGAAATACCAACCTGTTTATAACAAGCTGCAAACACTAACACAATGGGATATTTAGGAAACTTTGTCATATTGAGTTGTCTCTCTTGAACCTTTTCAAACACCCTATAAATATCATCATACATTTCATGGTTATACAACAGATCCATTAAAATCTGGTATGAAACTAGTTGGTCAAAAAATCCACTCTTGTAAGAATCTTCAAAACACTGAAATATTAAGAATACAAAAAGATTACATAAGCGGAGAAATCTTTTAACTAAAATTGAAAAACAAAACTTGGCATGTATAAGTGTAAGGTAGCATACAGGGGCGTATTTTACCCTAGGGCCAAAAGTGGCCATGGACACGGTGAAGTCCCTCAGCATGGATTTCACAGTCCTGCACTTAACAGCGTAGAGTGTATTAGCAGGGTTAGTTTACGAATAGTATGCCGTTAGCGTTCGTAAGTCGCGCGAACTGCTTAACAACTTCTCTGTTACGCACCCGTGAGACTTGACAGAGTCCCCCTTTAGGGCGCCAACGTCTGTAAATAGAGGTTTTGCCTGCAAAAAAAGGTCCAAAGGGGCTATCGTCTGGGGTGGCAGGCTACTAGGGAAGCTGCAAAATATGTAAGCGGCAGCAGATAAAGGCATTTGTTACAGACCTGTATTTTGACTGGATTTAATAATTCTTGTTGATTGTATTTAAATCATAAATGGCCCAGTTTTTTTTAAATACGCCCCTGGTAGCGTACAAGTAACAGTAAACATAATATTAATTTGTAAATAACTGGATGTGCAAACCTACTTTTAAAGCTTCATTTGGTGCATCCAGGAAGTGGAACATTCTCATTACAACAGGGCCAAACACAAATGACCCAAATCGAAATTCAGTATTGTCAGAGTTAAACCTGTAAACATTACTTGCAAATTTACTTGGAAGACTAACAATATTATTAATTTATTTTTATCTTTAAACAATTATCACAGTAACCAAGAAATTAATAATCACGCAATTGTTAGTTTAGAGAAAAACTTACTTTTTAATCATATTTGTTACAAGCTCTAAATCTGCAGGCTCAGCTAAGTGAACCATATTTTTTAAATCTTCTGTAAATATCATATTTTTAGGGTCCGTAACAAATTCTGACATTTTTGTTCTAAACTTATCTGTGAAATTTGCAAATTGCTCTTTCATCCTTTTTCTTGTATGCAAGTAGCCATCAATTCCAAGGGATGATTGTGAATAAAGATGCTGAACTGCAACCACGTTGATAAAAATTAGTAACAAAGATTTTAAGATTAGTCAGAAATGCTAAAACAGCGGTAATTTTAAGTTTTCAGCAAAAAATTTAATCGTAATTATATTTTGTAGAGGTTATAAAATTATAACCTTGTGTTACATAAATACACCGATAAGGTACAAAAATCCGTGAATTGTGAGTTGTCCTCAACACTGAATTTACGTAAATCGACATTCCAAATATCGTTTTAACTAATTTTTACTTTACTTATTACTATTTAATTAAAAATTTCAATTAAATGCCGAACCAGCTATTTTTGCAAATCTATGTATTGTATTTTTGACATTGATCAATGAATGAATTATTGAATCACAGACTACAGATGAATGAAAGAACACTAAAAAATCATTGAAAAAAGTTTTTTAATGATGGGAGCTACCGATTATCCTAATAGTCTATCATTATCGAACCCATAATGGTTCAGCCTTACTGTGAGTTTTTAGCGCTTCTTCATCGAATACAGTTGGTGTCATGTTTTAATTACTCTGTAATACTTTCATAGTGGATATTGTGAAATAAAAGTGGTTTGATTTGTTTTACAACCGTCTGCAGTCAACAGAGAATTAGAGGAATGAAAATCTTTAAAATATAAGCTATTCCGATCAAATGTATTTAGATCAAGTGGACTTGAAACTTTATGTACCTACTGTTGACTACCTCACAAAAGCTTATTGAGAAAACTAACTCGATTCTATATATGGTAGCTTTTCATTAGCTTTAAGTAATGTTTTTTGCTGATTTTTATGTTCATAAGCTGTTAGCTGCCCTAAATTATTAATTTAAATTATTAATTCAGACTCAGAAAATAAGCGCGAGAAATAAACAGTGTAGTTAGAGCAGGGTGGCCATAGTGGCAGCAGGCAACTGGGTGCGGCCAGAATGCACTCAGATTCAGATTCAGATTCCGAAAACAAGCGCGAGAAATAAACAGTGTAGTCGAAGGGTACGCCCAGAGTGCACTCCTGATTCAGACTCAGAAAACAAAGCGCGAGAAAAAGCAGGCAACCTGCTTAGACTACACTGTTTATTTCTCGCGCTTGTTTTCAGGATCTGAATCTGAATCTGAGTGCACTCTGGCCGCACCCACTGGTTGCCCGCACAGGTTTCGGAGTCAGACACTTTACCGGAATGTTTGGGTGCGGCCAGAGTGCATTCAGATTCAGATTCAGATTCTGAAAACAAGCGCGAGAAATAAACAGTGTAGTCGAAGGGTACGGCCAGAGTGCACTCCTGATTCAGATTCAGACTCAGAAAACAAAGCGCGAGAAAAAGCAGGCAACCTGCTTAGACTACACTGTTTATTTCTTGCGCTTGTTTTCGGAATCTGAATCTGAATCTGAGTGCACTCTGGCCGCACCCTTTAGGTCATTCAGATTCTGAATTCACCAGCGCCGCTCAGACTGCAGGTAGGGTTGCCAACCCTCCTATAAAATATAGTATCCTACTTTAATAGGGGATTAAATACTATATTTCTAAAAAATATGTAGTAGGCGAAACTACTTTAATTTGCTTAAAGCATATTTTTGACAGTAAAAGCTTTCTTAAAAAATATCAGAGATTGTTATTATAATATTAGTAAGGCAAAGAGCAACAAAAATATATTTATTTCAAAAATAAAGTAATTATTATAACCACATACTGATGTCGATTCTGGCACGATTCTCTAAATCTAAACTTAAATTTGACAACAGTGCATCCTTGCCATTCTCTATACAGAATGAAAAGGAGAGATTAATTCTTCATCATGTGAGGTTCAATTTTTGTTAAAATGTAGTAGCTAGAACGTTTCCTCTTCCACCCCAATGACTTTTGATTGGGGAAACAAATGGTGGTATTCCCCATATTCACTCCTTAATCTATTAATTTCGTGAACACCGATTCTCTCACGTTTTAATTTATAATGACAACTATCAGTAGCCATTAACAAGCACGCTAGATCTTCATTAGAAAACTCTTCCATGTTTACAATTGCGAATCCATCGCTTTAAAAACCCCCCAAATTTGGAGTTACCTCCCCCAACCTGGCAACATTGCTCGCGTCCGCGTCTTGTATTATAGTTTGTCTATACAGTCGTGACTCGTGACATGAATGTTTGAGAAACTAACATTATTCATGTCCGGCAAGGCAACACCAAACTTATGTACATCGAGTTTCAGTTGTGGAACAGTTTTCCTTTTGTATTTTTTATTGTTTGGATTAAACTGTAATAAATTAAGACGAAACTACGCAGAAAGATATAAAAATGAGTAAAGTAAATCGGAGTGGCACGCGGGAAGTGATTTTTAAAGTTTTCCAATGATGTTTCGAAGACTACCAAACTGGACGAATTTTGTGGGATTTGGACGATGTTTATGGGCGAACAGCATCTATGACGGGTATGTAATCGTGTAACTATTTGTTTGTAATCTGTCTGAAGTTACAAATTTACTCAATTTACGCTTTTGAGACCAAAAAAGGCATTGTTTACATTGCACATTTTTAGGTTAGATTGACATTGTAAATAGGTAATATTGTAGTACGACCATTTCTTTTGATACGTTATTATGGTTCAACTCGGTCAGGTTTTTTACCAATTTTGAATCAATTGCTTCATGTCAATAAGTTATTGTTTCTGTTCCGTTACATACTTTTTTACTTTTTTTCAGGAAAATCAGAGAGTCGGATAGTCAACGAAGGTTTTAAGAATGATGGAAAGTGTGAAACTCCTGGGAAAACAGGCAAGGCCGACCAAAGAAAGAAATGGTCACATAAAGAACCATGGCCAGATGCTTTTAGTGAAGATACCTATCACTAATTTTACTCACTGCACATTTACAAATTGTTTCTCTAAATAAACTTTTTATATACTATAAAATGATTTTTAGTATTATTTTCTTAACAAGTCATCAATTCAATTCATTCAATCATCAATATTACACACTTTTACACTATAAGGTACTATTTTATCTATAATAATTTTATTCTGATTCAATTAAATATGCTTGGCTAAACTTTTTATAAGCATAGGTACCTACTATATATAAAACAGAAACAAAATACGACTGTATATATATAGTGTGTCTTATTAATTAACTTTTTTTTCTTGAATGAACTGCTAGTATCAAAATCATTTTGATCCGACTGTATAGGGTTGCTACATGCATACTAGTGGCACCATCATTTAATGTCACTACTTTATAGACCAACTGTATCTGCCTCCACTGTGGCCATCACCTGCTTTCCTCAAGCTGAAATCTCACGAGCCTGTTTTCTGAGTCTGAATCTGAATCTGCGTGCACTCTGGCCGTACCCTAAGAAAGGTGAAATATAAAACCAAAAAAATGAATTTTTGGCGGGATTTCAATTTCATCGAGTGCGGTTGGCGGGTTATTTTAATTATTCTTAAATTCATTCATAGTGGATATTGTGAAGTAAAATTGGTGTGATTGTGTTACAAACGTCTGCGCAACTGAGGAATTAGTGGAATTTTTAAAATATGCCCTTTCTTGGTCGAGTGGACGTGAGAGTTATATTGTACTGTTGACTACCTTACAGAACCTTATCGAAAAAAACCAACTCAAGACATTTCATGCTAAACACTCCAAGAAACATAAGAATGCGTCACACTGACATTCTAATATAAAAAAGGAGATTAGGCTGTATGGGCATTGTTCCCTTTGCTTTCCCTAAAAAAGGAGAATCTCAAAAAAAACTTAAAATAATATATTTGACATTGACACATTTTTATGGATTACATCCAAGGCCGTTAAACTATTAAAAAAAAATTGACACATTGATTTGACAAATGACGTAATTAAAAAATCATGGCTTGACCATATCTTGTTGGCTAAAGTAAAATTTAAATAATCGTTTATAGTGTACAATTTTATTTTAAATCATCATAAACAGTGGTATGGAATAAACTCAAGAATTAATTTTAGAGGACGCGATCAGTTAAAATTAATTTGTTTTGTGATTATGTATTGGTGGCAATGGCGTTAATTATGTTTGCTAATAAAAATTGTTTCCGTTAACGGTAAACAATCTTAATTAGCAATAACAGTATGACAACATGGTTTAATTTGAACATCCATTACAATATTCGTTCAAAATTCGATAGATCTCAAATAATTTGTTGCTATTTCAAATTATTTGAAATTTATTTCTATGAGATAGTGTAGGTGACGGTACCAAGTTTGGTTCCACCATCTACCTTTTAAACTACCATTCACCATATATCGGGAAGATAAGAGAATCTACTTATTTCCAATAATTTCATGCGGCTTTTATATTGTTAAAGTTCTGTATCATAAAGTCACTTTTAGAGTATTAATTTAAAGTTAAAGGTCTTTTTTTAATTTAGGTACAACTTTAGGTTCATGCTGTAAAATGCTTAATATCCATAAATGAATACGAAAAAAACTTGATGAAACATAATGTTCTGTCATTTTGTTTGTGTGTATAAAAGAAATAAAAATAAGTTTTGTCAAATACTAGTTAAATTATTTTATATCCAATATATTTGTATATTTCTATGTATAAGTGTGAAGTTTACTCTTCTAATTTTAACCACAACTTTTTTCTAGCTAGACAATATATGTAGAAGTGTATTGTGTCCAAATCTAAAACCATGGATGGTTCAATAAAGTGATGATTAACATTAAAGAAAATGAGCATATTGCTTAAAGCATAAGAAGTGAAATGAAGAGGGCAATCCACCAATTTTCACACATTGAAAGTGAATTATCTTATTGGGCTCAATATGATAATAGTTCGCTGGGTGGAAATGTAATCTATAATATAGTACACTGTTTAATAGATGTTTTAGAGTCAATTTCATGAAAGTTGTTTTGATAGTATTAATATTTTTTTATACAACTATCATGAATGTGACAAAAATGCTTAAACTGCTTGATAAATATACTTTTATGAGAAGACACTGAAATTTCAATAAATCATATTCATAAATACTTGATAAATTGGCTTTCAGAACTTTTAAAATTGATCAATACATTAATTTATCATATATCTTTACAGATTGAACCTGGAATTATCAGTAAACATCTCTACTAATACAAGTGTAATACCAGTTGATAGTTTTAGGATGGCTGATAATAGATATTATAGAAGCAAATCTCCTAAGAAATACAAAAGAGAAGAATTCTCAAGACCTAAAATGAAGAAATCCAAACACTATAAACATAAAGAAGAGAACAAGCGTCAAGTTGAATGTAAGACTCCACCATTACCATCCAGCACAAGTTTAGATGAATTGCTTAAACAAAGAGAAAACCTAAAAGAGGAATTGGAAAAAATTACAAAACAATCAAAATTTGACTTAGAAATTAGACCTAATTTGAATGAAATTAAATATAATAATGTCAAAACATCGCAGCATGGCATCAAGAGGATTTATGTGAATGACAAAGACATAACTAACATAAAAAGACGTAGACACGACTCTATGGAAAATCAGGATAGTGATGATAGTCATTTAGATTCTGATGATGAAGAAAACATCATTGAGCTAAGAAGAAAACAGCGTAAGGAACTTTTGGAAAAACTCAATTCTTCATGCACTAACAAACCATCAAATTTAGCCGAAACCAATAGCTTGTTACTTAAAAATGATCATGATAACAACCAAAATAATGAGCAGACTCACAAAAATTCGGATAACTCTGTATCTGCCAAAGAAACCACTGACATGTTTGCTGAAAAAGACTTTTCTAATAGTCAAAAAGATGTAGTGAAACAAGATAATAGCAATACTGAACTCTCAGATAACTGGGATGATGCAGAAGGATATTATAATGTAAAAATTGGTGATATTATTGACAACAATAAATATACTGTCAAAAGTATACTTGGTCAAGGAGTCTTCGCAAATGTAATCCTTGCTCAAGATAACAAAAACAAATTAGAAGTAGCTATCAAAGTAATGAGGAACAATGAAGTTATTTATAAAACTGGCTTAAAAGAATTGGCTTTATTAAAAGAAATTAATGAAGCTGACCCTGAGAACAAACATCACTGTATAAAATTTTTAAGAAATTTTATGCACAAAGGCCACCTTTGTGTTGTACTTGAACCATTATACATGGATATGCGAAAAGTTATTAAAAAATATGGCAAACATACTGGTCTAAATATGAAAGCAGTAACGAGTTATAGTAGACAACTTCTTTTAGCCTTGCGTCTATTAAAAAAAATGGGTATCATTCATGCAGATGTCAAGCCTGATAATATTTTGGTAAATGAAAAGAAGAATATATTGAAATTGTGCGATTTTGGCTCAGCATCAAAAGTTGATGAAAATGAGATTACTCCCTATTTAGTATCAAGATTTTACAGAGCACCTGAAATAATTTTAGGGCTTCCATACAAGCATGGTATAGATATATGGTCAGCTGGTTGTACAATATTTGAAATGACTACTGGTAAAATTATGTTCACAGGAAGCTCAAATAATAAAATGCTTAAGTGCTTTATGGATTTAAAAGGTAAAATACCAAGCAAATTAATAAGAAAAGCCAAATTCAAAGACCAGCATTTTAATTACAATAATAGTTTTCTCCTTCATAAAAAAGATGAAATTTCCGGCAGAGAGAAGTTTGTAGAGCTTAGTAGTATAAACCCAACCAGAGATCTTTTACCAGAACTCAAAAAATGTTATAAAAATGTTACCGAAGAAGTAGAAACGAAATTAGCACAATTGAAAGATATGTTAGAGAAAATGTTGGTCATTGACAGTAACCAAAGATTCTCAGTCAATGATTGCCTCAAACATCCTTTTATCCAAGAAAACTTTAACAAGTGATTTGAAATCAGATTCAATAAGAAAATAAAAATAAGTAATTTATGTATTCAGTTTTGTTTTTCTATCATGGTTAATGCATCAACCTTTTTATACCCGGTGGGCAATAATTTTTTCATACAAATGTTCGTGACTGATTCCTCCTTGATTTTTAATACTGAATTGATTTTCATACATGAAATATAATTTTACTCATTATAAGCTCCATAAGCTCCTGTCTTCTTTTTTCGATAACTTGTGTTTCAAAGAAACTAGAAGCCCTAAAAAATACCATAAATAACCAAATTTATATCACCCCTAAAGTCGTCTAGTGTGGAGATTTAATAAGCATTTACAAACATAGAGGCATCTACTTATTTTTCTACTAGCGGCCACCCGCGACTTCGTACTCGTGGAGTTAGTTATTTGCACGTACTTTTGACCCCAAAAGGGGGTTTATTTCTAAAGATACATTATTAGTACACCTCTACACCATCTATAGAGCATACATGTTAAATTTCAAGTCTCTTAACTTCAAAAACATAGGATTTTCATACAAACTTCCAACCTCCGTATTACGTATAGTATTGGAGTTTCGTGAAATTTGTTCTTAGCGGATATCTACACCTCAAAAGAAACCTACCTGCCAAATTTTAAGTTTGTAGATATTATAGTTTCTGAGATTTCGTGATTAACCATTGAGTCCTATTTCGCTGCGACGTCGTCAGCGTGAACTATACAGCACCAAAAATACCTACGATTATAGCTTTTAAAATAACATTCATTTACCCGTTTCTACTTTACATTTCATATCTACAGAAAGTGCAGTAACAGAGGAAGACTGTCATTTGTAAAATTGACCGCCTAAAGTGCTGATTTTCAACCTGCTCTGAATAAATTACTTTATTGTGATTCTGCTGAATTAAGTCATAAGTTGTGGCTGAAGCAGATAGAGAAAATAATGAATAAGGAATACAGAATAGGGTAAAAATTACATACATATAGGACTTTTCGATAAACAACATTAGTGGTTTGGCTCTCCACGGCCAAAATGTAAAGAGAGTCGGGACTGGTGACGCGGAAGCAAGCGACGTAGGGAGAGTGGGTAACAATGGATCACTTCTTTTTTCAAGCTCCACAAATCCCAAGTTTATGTGTAAATAATTAATCTATGATAATTAACCACAATATATGTCCCTAATCTACAAAAGCAGGTGCAATTATTGGTAAAAACGGCATAAATTTACAAGTTTTTTAAAAAATGGGAAATGATCCACTGTGACCCGTGGATGGGTCACTTTGGATCTTTTCATGGGTGACAGGGAATCACTTGGGGTATACTGGATCTTTTAAAAAAAAAGTCAATAGAATACCAATTTTCTTCATAATTATTTATTTATTTATATTCTAAGACAGCCTTCTATCACAGTCTTATCAAAATTAACAAGTTTTTCAAATTATGCTGGTATAAATAGACCTAAACTAATCAACATTTTGTTTAAATAAACAACAGTTCTTCTCCTTTCATTTCCACAAAGTTCTCTTCTCTATTCAAATAAACATATTTACTTCTTCAGTAATCATTAACAAAAATTTTAATAAGAATTTTGTTAAATGCTGACTCAACTATTAAACATAAATATATTTACTCCTCGAGTAATCATTAATATAAACTTTAATAGGAACATTGTTGATATACCAACTATTAAAAATAAAAATTATTACTTTTTCAGTAATCGTTAACAAAAAATAAACTATTAAAACAAATATTTTCATTTTCTGATATCTCAAAATTGTCTGAGATTCGGTTTGAGGTCAAATTAAATTAGATTAGCGTAAATTAATGTTAGAAAGATCAACGTTTAAGTTGTACATGACTTGCTTCCTCTTTGTAGTCCCAGAAAACGTAGGTTTTGGTAAAATCATCTTAATATCATGCAGCGCTACCGTGCAGCTACAGTCCGCTGTGACCCAAATGAAAATTATTCACTATGACCCATAGGCCGGTACGACACAAAAAAAATATTCAAAAAATAACTACTTATACCCAAGCCAAAATTACATTACCCACAACGGATTTATCAAATAACAAGTTCAAAACATACGACTATCATTTATATTTATTAAAGGGTTGGGAATACGACAAATTTTTAAATTACGTAAAAAAATACTTTCGTACTTACCTATTGGCCTGCGTGTGACAGCACGTGATTCCGCTCGGCGAGCGCGGCGGCGACCGGCGTGTGAGAGGGGGGTATCGACGAGCAGTAGCCACCCGTTTGCTTGTGTGCGTAAAGCATCAGACGTAAGAATTATAGCGAATAATCCGCTGTGACCCGTGATCCGCTGTTACCCACTCTCCTACAGCTGCCCGTGTGAGAAGCAGCTCGTCCTGAGGTCGACAACCGCTGCCCTCAGTGTCTGCCCCTGTGAAGGTGGAGAGGAGAATGACCATCCTTCGTACATCTTGAGCATTTGCATCATTTTGCATGGCATACCTGAGATGGACGTAGTTCTGAGCTCTCAGCTTTCTTTGGTTGGCTCAGCTTAGCTCAGCTCTCACCTCATAAATACCAAACGCTCTGTCTCAATTTGGGCGTAAATGTCCACCAGAAACTGACTAAAGAGAGTACGGTAATGGTGGAGATGAGAACCATTGTTAACCCCTTAGCTGGATCAAGAAGCTGTAGAACTGCATGGCGGACGTTTTTTTGTTATAATTTGGGGAGCCTGTCTGGGGGTCTACATTATAGTGGGCGAAATGGTAGCCATCCTCTCCGCGACAGAACATAAGCGGATATTGAAGAGAATCGTAAGCGCAGTGAGTCTGATCCTTTGAAGCCGGTCATCATGCGTGCGCAAAACGATGTCTCTTTATCACACTCCTGATCGATTAGGAGAACGGCTACCCCATTCACCGATGGCGCTTTATATCGCCCCAGATGGGCTACAATCGGCCTGCTATCTGCGCTGATGACAAACTTAATGCGGTTGCACTCGTTCTCAGGCACCGACGCCAGGGCGACTTTGAAGTTGCCAATGTGCGGATTAACGTTATGCAACATACTTTGCAATCCTCTGACCAGACCAGGGTCAAATTAGGGATGTGTCTACTTCGCAGGTTTGCTTGTTCTTCAAAATACGCTTACACAATAAATTTGCAAAATTTTTGGAATGTCTACCGTAGAACCGATTTGATGGTCAACTTGCCCTTGAACCTTGAATGTGGGCATGAACCCAGGGCTTCAACGATTTGATTTGCACCAAACGAAGTCATCTGGAAGGCAATGTTATAAGCTCGGATGTTTTTCAAAAAATGGCTGGACTTCGGATGCTCGCCATTAAGTAAGACTCTTAACAGATCTGGTGGGTCTTGCATAGACTCCTAGCGTACCTTACCAGATGCACAACAGAAAAAAAACAAGTGTTGTGTTGGGGGTTACCTACAATGCCAACAGATGGCGCTGCCTTAAGGCTAGGAAAATTTGACGCGGCCATCAGGGCCGTGGTAGCATAATTGGCCAGTGCATTCGCCCGGATTGCGAAGGGTGCGAGTTCGAGTCCCGTCCGCTACCTGGTCCGCTTGGATTTTTTTCTAGTAAAACTTTTCTTTAGATTTAAACATCTAGCAGTTAAATGCTTAAAAAAATAAAACATAAGGATAATAATTGTCACTATGTTCACAAATAAGTTTAATAAGTAAATTATTTTTAGAGAAGTGCATAGCGGATTTTCCGCTCGAATTGGATAGCTTATCTGAATTTTCTTGACCTCCTACTCCTCTTGAGTAGAATATACTCCGATTTTCAAGGTGAATATACTCAAAAGGTTCTAAGTTCGAATTCCGGTTGGGCAAATGATCGATTGATGAATACGAACAATTGGATCATATATTTCAAGAGGAGCTCTATGTGCTTCGAAAAGCACTTTAATGCATGCATGCAGCACTACATGGCAGTCGCTAAAATCCACCAATCCGCATAGGCCCGCCAGTTGGGTTAAAGCTCAATCTCCCTATGCCATCCATAGGGATGGCCTGTGCCCCAGCAGTGGGGACATTAATAGGCTGATGGTGATATTCTAGAAAAACAGACACAGCTTTTTCGTGCGCGTACTAAGCTTCCTAATAGTCTACACTACAGATCAAGCGAAGCGAGGGCGGGCCACTAGTTTAACAAATAAACAAACAACATCAAATTCAAATCAGACATCAGATAACTAAAATATTAGGCGAGAAATATTAATGAATTACCAATTAGTGTCCAAAACATTTAAAACCCATCTATCTATTCTTGTACAGATTCTTAGCAAAATCTTTTTTTTTTCTTTATCTTATTTAGCCTCAGATTTAATCGCGAACGTTTAACGTCTTATTTTACGAAAAAAAACGTAAATTTACGTACGATTTACGTTTTTAGATAATGCATGCGCAGTTTGTCTAAAAAATTGTATGAATGCGACTTAAATGGTACGACTGGCAATACTGGAGGTGGGCGACGCGGGTAGGAAGGATCACGTTCACCGTTCACGCAGTATTTCACGAGGGGATGCGCGTGCGGTCAGCAATCTGCGGCAGTGGCTCATCGCTTAGCAACGGCATTATATCTTTACGACGATGTTTTAGAAATTTGGTAAGTTGGACCATGAATCATAGGTAGTAAATAAAACAAACGTTTCAATAGAATACTATATTAATTGCCTATGCGACAAAACAACAAAATATACGCCACCAACCAAAATATCACTTAAGGTTTCACATGAACAGTAAAGCATGTGAACTATCACAATTACAAAGGAAAAATTGACAAGTGGTTGATACTTGTTACGGGACATTAAGGTGGAAAATTGACACTGTTCCAAAATAGTTCAGAAATTAAACAATCTTCACAGCTAATTATCATTTAAAACCCACCTAGACTTAAGTTTTACACCTTAGAAACTCGAAATTTGTCTGTATTAATTTTATTGCCTTTTACAAACTTACCAGCTAAGGCAAATTGGCAGAATGAATTAGTGTAAGTAGATTTTCAGTTTTAATATACTATTTTATTACATTTCATATATAAATTAGCATACAGTAATGCTACATCTCACCATTTTCATTTCCTCTCTTAATGTTTTTTAAAAACAAGAAAAAAAAATTAAAAATAAACAACAACAAAATGTTATAAGTAAATATCATCACAGTACAATAATAAAAATAATATTCAAGAAGTAAACTGATTAAGTAGAGCTAACCTTACATAGGTAATTTAATTAGCACAATATAATCCTTTACACTTATGAGAATGCTTTCTGTAGCACATTATTTTAGCAAGTAAACCAAAGCTATACGACTATAAAATACTTGCAAAGCCGTGTCTAAATTATCTGCAACGCAACACACAATGGAAGTTGCAACATTTGCCATACATTTCCTTGTTTCCACCGATTGTCATTTTTGCGGGAATGACGTGAATATTTGCTCGATCATGTTACTGGACAAATATTCGGCTTATGAAACAAATATTCGTCGCAAAGATTCAGGATGCCAAATTCTTGATGTGTAAATTTAAATCCAGCAAGGGCTCATATGCTAACAAAGTTTGTTTGTGTTGCAAATAATCAGGACATGGAAAAATTATAAAAATCAATACTTAGGTACTTACTGCAAAATACAAACAGTGATAGGATACACAATACTCTCTTATTCAACTCAACACTCATTGCGGGATATAAAAATAATACTAATTAATTACTTTCAACCATTGCTTTTTCATGATAAGTTACTTTCAATACCAGATATGTGTAGTGTTCCATATAAAAGACAGCTTGTTTACATACATTCGACTCATTCTTTCAGAACCGCGTAGTATTTAATTGAAGAAAATAAAAATATATATAATACACGGTCTGTTTTGACACTTATCTAAATCTTGTTTTATTACTGTTTTTGTGATTACCTTAACTAAACTGTGTTTTAAGGACCCAGTCAGTTTGCATATAAGAGCATTGATTTTTCTTACAATTGCGACAATATTCCGCTTTGTAAGACTTAATTGTTCAATCATCTGTGAACCCCATCTGGACTCCAATTTTGTAACTAGGTTACAATTACAGCAGTTACAGTTCGAATGCACTTTGACATCTGTTAACCATATCTGAACTGCAATTATGGAACTAGGTTACAGTTATAGAACATGGTTATAGTTATACTAGAACTAGGTTAGTTACCGTAGTTACAGTTCTAATGCACTCTGACATCCGTTTACCCCATCTGGACTGCAATTTTGTAACTAGGTTAGTTACCGTAGTTACAGTTCTAATGCACTCTGACATCTGTTTACCCCATCTAAAAACCGTCTCTGGACCCGGCGGAAAACCGGAAAAAGTACTGCAATTTTGCAACTAGATTTACAGAAAAGCAGTCGCAGTTCGAATGCAATCCGACATCTGTTAACCACATCTAAATTGCAATTTTGCAACTAGGTTACAGTTTCGAATACACATGTGTGTGCTGAATCTCATATTATAGATAACAATTTAGTATGAGACTTGAAGTTCAAGTCTCATACTAAATTGTTATCTATAATATGAGATCATCAGTTTGGCAACTTTGACATCTAAAGAAATATCACGTCCAAAATGAGATACACCATGGAATACTAACTATTAAAAACAAAATTCATTTCACTGTCGTTAGTATTAATTATAGTTTCTTGTAATCGTTATATTCGGCATTATAGTGCTACAGAGCAGTAATATCTAGCAGGGCGTCTAAATTAAGACAAACTTTATATACACAAACAAAGATTTACATACTAATCGTGACTTTTGTCACAGCCATACGCGTACTAATCATGTTATTTTATTATGAGAAAAAAAACAAGGACAGTATGCATGACTTCATAGCGACAATATAAAAGAAGACTAAAAAAAAGAATGCCTCTCAGACATAACTCATGTACAAAAATGCAATAGTGAACATTTTGTTCTGAATTCATGTAAAATATAGGTATTTGTATAATAGTATAATATACTTTAGGGTAACACTCTTGTCTTTAAATAAGAAAAAAATCTTTTTTTTTGCAGTTCTGGCAAGATTATTAAAATTTTGAGCAACATTTTGAAAATGTCTAAAGATTGTTTTTTCCCCTTTATTTATAGTAAACAATAATTCAATAAAATTGTATGTTTATCGTACTAATCTTGCCAGTTTTGCTTATCAAGAGACGGAAAACTCTTTAATTTATATCTAGAAGTACCCTAAATACTATGCATAGTAAAAGTAAAAATCACACGTACATTATGTGTAACGTAAACAAAAAATTCCATCACAATTTCTAAATTTAGAGAGAACTCTATATACAATTTAAGTAGCTTTTAGAGCTTTTAATAATAATAATCTAACTTCAGTTATATGGATGGATCCATTTTTTAGATTTAAAGCAGAAATCGGGATGTAAAGCAGTCTCGAGAAATTCGATTTGATCACTAACTTCGCATATCACAAAATACTGCACAATCTATTAAGAAAAAAGTACCAATGCCGGTACCTACCGAGATTCGTGATGAGAAAAAAAAGATCAATGCTCATTACAACAAATCGACATAATTATGTAAGCCGACGGTTTATTGTGTGGTGATCTATCTAATTGTTTTGTTCCGCTAAATATCAAAGCTAAATAAAAAAAAATATTCGTTCTTTATAAATTCTCCTGTTTAAGAACGAAAGGAAATATGTCGACTGAAAAAAATATCCTTGTTTCACAACATAATTGTCGTTGAAGTAAAATACGGATAATTGTAACAAAATGTCGGTGGCATTATGTCGATTTGGTGAAATAGGGCCCAAGTATTTGTTGTAGGGGTAATTAATAACACTAGTGCTCACCTTGTCACTAAAAATAAAGTTTCTTTGGATGCGGGTAGTTTGAGATTGCGTTGTGGCATTAAGTCGATTTGGTGAAATAGAGCCCAGGTATTTGATGTAGGGGGTTATTAATAACACTAGTACTTACCTTGTCACTAAAAATAACGTTTCTTTGGATGCGGGTAGTTTGAGATTACGTTGTTATGTGGATGGTGCGTTGTGGAAAGCGGGCACGCCGTCCGCGGAGTGTGTGGAGGCTATCGAGTCGGGGCTCTGGAGGGAGGCGCTATACACGGGGTTCATAGGAGTTGTACCGCCGGCTTCGAACAACGTGCTATCGTACACACTGTTGCTCTGCTAGAACAAATTGATAGGACTAAGGCTTAGATTAAAACAAAAAGGGAAGATCCGCCTCAACTACATAGCAACTCTCACACACGCACACGTCTATATTATAAACATTCAATCGAGCGAGCGGGACAGAACTGTACCCTTAGTACGAGTTTTACAATTACGAAAACTATGATAGAGGGTACTGATTTTATTGTTTTCGTTTCAATACTAATAAACAGTGTTTAAATTCTATACTAAAATAATTTGCGTATTCTTTTTAAGTATATTTGGTTACTTTTTACCAAAATGGACATAGTAACATAATTTACAATTACGAAAACTATGATAGTTTTTACGAATGAAAAGTGTTGCCAATGCATTTGATTTTGAATTATTTGTGTTCTTTATAAAAGCATTGAAGGAATCGTTTTATCTTTATAACACAGAATATACGCAATATTGTTATACTGAGTGCACATGCACATTCAGCGTGTTTGAATGTCCAAATGTGACTAAAGCGAATTATGGTAATGCACCACAATTTAAGCGGATCTTTTGAGCCGCGAGTGCTGTATCTTCCCCTTTAGTTTTAATTTAAGGACTTAGGCTTAGCGCGCATTTCTGTGCGGCGAGTTGGGGTTGAATTTCAAAACTGGTACGGCGAAATCTGATATGGTTTACCACGCACACTCCTTTGATCCATTTTCTTAACCATCTAAGAAAGAAGAATTTTTATTAACTTTTTCATAACTGGTCAAGAAAACTAGTTAGGAAAATGGAAAAAAAATGTCTATTCCATTCCATTAAAAAATCCATGTTTTATATAGTTGTATATATTTATCGATTCAAAAAAATAGTAGTGACTACAGAATAAATAAAACTTATCGTTTTTCTGTTTTTTTTCGGTAATTATTACTTAACACCTTTAATAATTAAGTGATAAGTGTCTCAAGTCTGGTGACGAAAAGAATATCAAAAATACATTCCTTTAATATTAATACGGCTTAACGTGCCTTCCGAAGCACGGAGGAGCTTGAGATAATAAGTTTTTGGTCACCTATCCAAAGACCGACCTTTGCGAAAGTTGCTTCCACGATTGCAGGGTTGGCAGGTCACACACGCCAAACAACTGCGCCATCGAGCGCCTCAGATCAATATAATATTTTACAAATAAGTAAGTAATATACCTGGTAAATGTAGTCAGAGTCGGTCTTCAAAGAACTGAAGCTCTGCTGGTGCGGCAGAGACACCTGATCATCGTCCATCGGCTCATCCATTTGAGCCTTGTACGAGAACATGATGCTAGGTTGCGACACACTGAAAGGTTAATGAATTAACTGCATTTCATTTATATTTTACCCAGAGCAGTGTGAAGATTACGAAATATATTACCTACTAGCGGCCGCCGTGAAGTTAGTTAGAAATAAAGGTTCACTGCTCGTACCCCGTAGGTGATAGCGTGATAATATGTAGCCTATATGTTGACCCAACTTCTTAATAATATTCGTGCCAGAAGTAAATCCATGCAGTACTTTTTGAGTTTATCCCGGACATTCATACAGACAAACAGACAAAAATTTTAAAAACTATATTTTTCGCTTCAGTATCAATTGTAGATCACACTCCAAGTAATTTTTTTTAAAAAATATTTAATGTACAGTTTCTGAATTTCCTACTATTTTGTTATATGTATAAATATGTTGTATTCATTCAGACTACAGAATGTAGTCTTATATTTCTGCGATGATTAAAGGTTCCAGAGCATGGTTTGAGTATTAAGATTTTAGTTTATGTAGTAACAACTCGTAGTAACCCCAGGAAAACAGATTAGAATTCAGACACTCAATGTCAAACAAAATACTTTTACAAGTATTAAACTTTTAGTTTAAGAGAAACTTTTATCTAATCTATAGTATTTGCACTATGTGATCGGATTACGAAAGGTGCGGGTTCGATTCCAGCCAGATACAGGTACTTATCAGACATACTGTTAAAGACAAATTTACTAGAAAAAGAGCAGCATTGAGCAAGACAATAAAAAATCTATTGTTAAATGTATTTTAAAATATCTAAAAGCTCACCAAAATTACATAAGACTGATAGTGTACTGCAAAATAAGATGTTTTAGAAAAAATAACTGGGCAAAAACTGTAGCGTCGCTTCGGGCCGTGTCTCACAATAAACATTAGCAAGGTTGGCTATTCGGTGAGCAGTGAAAGTTTATAACTAGTTTGATGTTTTTACGCTTTAGTTGTTACGTGACAAAAAATTTTAAGTCATTCTCGTAATCCTTTTCGATAAATAAGAAAATTATCATTAAGTCACTCTGTGTTTGATAAAAATAAATTAGTTTGATATCTTGCAAAATAAAGGTCCTGGTAAATTTATTTGAGCAATTAGGTTGCTCATCGGTAGTCGGTATTATTAATTTCAGATCAGAATGAATGTTAGTTCAACTGGATGGCTGCCCTATGAAAAATCCCTAGCTACACCAAAGTGTGGAAGCAAGATTTTCCGATTTTCTTAATTTTATTATTCCTGTTTTTTCATGTCTTTTGAAATATTCTTTTACTTTTGCAATTCCGCGTATCACTGGTTTGTTCCCCACGACAACGGCTAACTAGAGCCGAGGTCCGAGTCTCAGAGACGCCCTCTAGTTGAGCCGAAACCCTCAGGTCCGAGTGGTCTAGAGACGGAGAGGAAAGGACCCTTTCCCTGTGGGGAGATGCCATCCTCCTGGAATACCTCTAGAGGCACTTCTCGGCTTGAGGTCCCTTAGGATCTCGCCGTCCCTAATCCCGGTGACGCAGTTAAGGATATCTGCGACCAACAGCGTAAACTACACACTAAAAAAACTGGTTTGCTATTTATTTTCATACCAACTTTAAAACAAGATAAACTCACCTGAAGAATTCACTCAGGAAAGTATGGTAGACGAGTGGCGTGTACAGAGAGAAGTAGAGCCACGTGGTGACATCAACGACGCATAGCCCCGGCTGCATGGAGCCCCATGCAAGCAAACCCGCGCCCACAGCCTGCGTCGTATCGAGGAGGGCCAGCAATAGCACGTACAGGTAAAACGATAGCTTTGCTGCAATTCAGAGCAACAGATAAAAATAATCAAGAGTAATATTGGATTGAAATAGCGAATGGACTCAATCATCCATGCTCACCAACATAATAGCTATTAACGGGATTGTTACCGTGTGTACATGGTAAGAATCCCGTTAATAGATAGCTATTAATAGATATCAGCACAAACATTATAGATGTTTGTGCTGACTGCTTATGTCATCATGATTCATGACATAAGCAGTCAGGAACAATGATACGCGATATGATGAAGCGATATATCGACATTAACAGTCAGACTACAGTGGAGTTTGACAGTTGAGATTCGATAAAAAGCTTTATCATATCCCGTTCCGGTGGTCATGCTAGAGGGGCTGGACTCCGAGTTATGTGATTTATAACACGTTTTTATCACGCTCAATTGTCAAATAACAATAGAGTTTGACAATGACAGAAAAAAAGGTGATATAATGTAAATTGTGGTGCTCATGCTACAGACTCAATATACATAATATCACATTTTTATCGCATTTGTCAAACTCCATAGTAATTTGACAATTGAGCATGATAAAAACTAGCTTTAGCAGTACTCATGCTAGGGGTCTCATTGTCCTACTGTAGAACTCTAAACTTATGCTCTATAACATCCCTGATTGAAATCAATATTTATTCAACCTGAGTAATAAATTACATAATGAAATGAACCATTACATAACATAAAACAAGCAGCTAAGGCCAAGAAACTCATTGATAAATTCTTCAATTTATTGCAACAAGTAGAACCTTATCAAATTGTGTAATAAATACATTTCCCTTATAGCAACACAGAATTGCTGTTGTAAAATACATCATATTTTAATAATTATAACAATGCTAAATACTAAGGCTAAATAATGAAACAATTGAGATAGCTATTATTATTGTAATTAGTTTTAAAGCAGTATAATATTAAGGGAGCTTAATAATATAAAGCAATTCATGATAAAATTTGTAATTATGTTCTTTAATTGCCACTTAATAGTTGTTTATGAAAATCATAAACCATGTAATGACTAATAAGCCAGTCATAATTTAAAATCTTAGAATTGGATCTACAAATTATATTCAACATTAAGTTAATTTACATATTTATAACCTATCACTTGTACCTAGTTGCATGATCATTGAAGTAGAAAAATATTTCTCTTTCTACTTTAAATAAAATACAATGTTTTTTTATAGTGTCTAGTCTAGGGTTATGGTATGACTGACATGGACTTTTGGGATGGTAAATGAAATTATTAAAAAAACGGCCAAGTGCGAGTCGGACGCGCCCATGTAGGGTTCCGTAGCAGCAAGTGACATAGTGTGAAGGTACAAGTCAGAACTAAACTGCATACCACAGGCCGCAGCTGCAGATGACACTACTAGTTTCTATGAATTTAGATGCAGTGTTGCCTGCAGCCCATTGCGGAATTATACCTTACAAGTACTTGTAGTTTGTTGTAACATTGATCGATGTGTTGAAAAACAGTGTATTTTTTTTATTAATTAATTATTTAAAAAAAACTACTTACTAGATCTTGTTCAAACCAATTTTCGGTGAAAGTTTGCATGGTAATGTACATCATATATTTTGTTTAGTTGTATCACTCTCACTCAGAAGTTACAGGGGGGGGACACATTTTACCACTTTGGATGTGTCTCTCGCATAAACTTTTCAGTTTACAATAAAATTATATTGGAAACCTCAATGTCATTTTTGAAGACCTATCCATAGAAACCCCACACATATGGGTTGTAAAAAATTTTTTTGAGAAGCAGTTCTAAGTATGGGGATATCCCAAAATTTATTGGTTTTTTTTCTATTTTTATGTGAAAATCTTAATGCAGTTCACAGAATACATCTACTTACCAAGTTTCAATAGTATAGTTCTTATAGTTTCAGAAAAAAGTGGCTGTGACATACGGACAGATAAACAGAGAGACATGACAAATTTATAAAGGTTCCGTTTTTTGCCATTTGGCTACAGAACCCTAAAAAGTCAAGTTGGAATTTTAGCTTTTATATTAAAAAATATGAAAGTGACAAACCATTTAATTTCTTTTTAATTTTCAAATTCTTTTACCCGGTTCCCCTCAATTGTAAGCTATCACAGTCAGACCACCCTGCACTCACCCTAAATTCACATTACCAAGTATTATCTTTTGAAAGTGAAGGTGTCAGATGAATAATTAGGGTAAGAAAAACACTTTGACATTTTAAAGTATTGGTATGAATAAAAAATGCAAACAACTTACATGGTAAAGCCAAATAGTCTCGCAAAGGTATCCAGGGTAACAGAAGTATGAGGAAATATATTAGGGCAAACACCAATGAAGATGTGAACCAAAACACCATTCCACCATGACCAAACAAATTGTAGCCCCTAGTGTCAATGTGAAACATATCATCAGGCATCACAATCTCCAGAGTGCCCTGGGTGATGGTGAAAGCCAGTGATATGAGTGAAGTAGCCAGAAGAACATATCTGATACTACTTCGGCTGTCCAAATGACCTGTGAAACAATTTAGTTAAATTTCACACTGCAATCTTAATATTGTTTTTTTATATAAAAAAAAACAATGACAATGATACATATAGAATACAATCTTAGTAGGTAATCAGTTTCTTTATGATAAAGACCATGACAATATTTTAAGCACTATTGAACTTGATACTTGAGATATTAAACTTATATACATATATTTAAATAGGAAACAGATAAAACATATGCGAATAGATTTTGGTACTTAATTCCATTATATGTAATTGAATTTCGGGGTAATTTGTAGGGGGGGTGGAGGGGGGGCTCCCCCCGACCCCCCCGCCATAAACGATTTTTGGCGGAAATGCAGTTTTTTTTTTTTACCTAACCTAAAAATTCATTAAATCTGTTAAATGTAGTGGAATTTCAGGGGGATAGGTATTAGGGAAGACCCCTCAGAGGGAAGGGTAAATCCCCCTCCCCCCTCCCGGCGTTTTTTTACAGAAATGATAATTATAAAAAATTAGAGGGGTTTTATAGGTAAAATTGTACTTCCAGGGCCTAGAGATGATATTTGATTTTTTTGTAGAAAAAGTCTCTATTAACGAATTTTTCTTTCTGGCGCTTCGCCGGCCGCTGCCGCGGCACGCTCGCTTCGCTCGCTCGGCTCGCGCGTTAAGGTCACAACACTAACCTAACCTAACCTAGTGTGAAGTATCACCACACAAGCGGCTCATTAGAGTCCAAAACTCGCAATACACTCGACTCTTCAGGCGAAGGGCCAGCAGAACTCGAGGTCGAAGGCTTTGAGGATGCCATGGTAGTCAGACGACGTTAATATCAACAGGAGTACGAAAAAGCTCTCAACTGCGACGAACACAAACACTGACTGACAGATCTCATTATTGGCGGTAAATTGTCACATTTTGACAATAGTACCAACATAATAAACTTATATTTACCATAGACAACGAGAAACATGTTATTTTTGCATAAAAATGGCAGCACTGATCAAAATTGCTGTCAAAGTTGACTCATAACCTACAAAAATATTAATTTTCAATAATTTTTTTTTCGAGTTCTATTCGTTTCCGCCTAAAAAGATTTCGTGTACGTGTTTTTGATAGTTAACACTTTGCGTGACAAAAATTTCAGCTTGCAACTCAATTACATATAATGGAAAGCTGAGCCTAGATTTTCAACACTCACCAAAAGCTAGTCCAAAAATAACAACACTCATTTCTGTGGCCAGCAGGAAAAATCTAACAGTGACCCATAATACTTTGTCTACTAAGCCTCCTATAGGCGTAGCTGGATTTACTGTCATAGATACTGCACATCTCACCAGGCTTATTATCACATTACCCCAGACTAACGTGTAGAACGTCAGGAATATGGGGCTACTTGTAGCACGCAGTTTTAACTGGGCTTTGTTGAATCTTATCACTAAGAACAACACAAATAGTGCATTTGGTATCAAAATTATAAGATCCCAAATCCTGACCCTGGAAACATAATCAAGATGAATTCAGATACTTAACAAAAAAAAGATCATTTTCAATAGTGCAACAAACAATGATTTTGTCCTAATAGTTTATTACGACCTACCTTGAATTATTTATCTCGTAGTATAAAACGTATTTACAAAACGTGTCCTCATTGATAGGTGGAAAATCTGATCCGTTGATACCGTACATTTTGCTTGATTTTCTGGTGTGTTACGAAAGCTAATGCCTTCGGGCTTTGTAGTAACGAAGCATAACTCACAAGACAACCTGTCTTCAACTTCAATCGGGTCACAAACGTCAACTTATCTTCAACATCATAAAAAATATTTTACCAAGTAATTCAATTTGCTTGTGACGAAACCAACAAACTATGAAAGTACGTATTATTAAATATTAGAGACCACTGGGGACATCTTGCTCTCGCTTGACAACCTTGACACTTTTCATTTTTTTTTGGTTGTTCTCCCTTTTCAGGGAAGGCAAGGAGAACAATGCCCATACAGCCAAGTCTTAAATTAAATTATTCTAAAGAAAAGTTTACTAGAAAAAAATCCACGCGGTCCAGGCAGCGGACGGGACTCGAACCCGCATCCTTCGCTATCTGGGCGAATGCACTGACCACTATGCTACCACTCGCCCGGATAGCGAAGGATGCGGGTTCGAGTCCCGTCCGCTGCCTGGTCCGTGTGGATTTTTTCTGAACTGAAAAAAGTGTGATAATAAAACCGTAAGAAAAAATCCGTGGAAAAAAGTGCGTGGAATAAAACCGTTAAATGAGGCGTGCGCAGGCGCGACAGTCGCATAAACAAGCGAGTAGTGTATAATACCTTTCTCTTTCTCCCTACTTCTTTTCGCTCTCTCATCCCATCTCTTTCTATTACCACTCCACCCCGCCAATGCATAGTATATACTTAACTTCGTTCCTACCTGGTGTCCCACGACACCATATCATTTTTTTAATGTTCTTTTTTTATATTAGAATGTGGGTGTGACACATGTGTTTAACTATAATATGATAACTCAAACCTAATATAATAAATGTATGCATCTTTCTTTTAGGTCGTTGGACTAAGACACGCCAGATTAATTATGAAGTTTCATTATACCAAATTAGTAAAGCTGTTTAAGTCTTAGAGCATATACCAATGGAGATGCCATACTGTTCACTCGCAAAATATGCAATACTCAACCAAACACAACACGCTTGTGTAGCTATGAACGCACACTTCGAAAATCACGTTACACAAGCAAAAAAATGCACACACGCTGACAATTTTTTTATGTAACTATGCAATTGTCCGGTTGACTGGTAGAGAATGCCTAATGGCATTAAGTCCGCTACTTGTTCACTTATCCGTGCAATAAAGTATAAATAAATAAATAAATTGTCCGAGCGTACAGTTTGTCTATAAAGTCGTGATATGAATGTTTGAGGAACTAACATTATTCATGTGTCTGGCAACACCAAACTTATGTACATCAGCTGTCATCGAGTTTCAGTTGTGGAACAGTTTTCTTTTTGTATTTTTTATTGTTTGGATTAAACTGTAATTAATTAAGACGAAACTAGGCAGAAAGGTATAAAAATGAGTAATCGGTATCATATTATGTTAAACTTTGTAAATTAAACAATTTATTTTTAGAGCATCACGTCTTTTATTTCACACTTATTACCATAGATTAACTCACATAGATTATAATATAACTATAATATAGAAACAATAATGACACAGATTATATTCAATAATGTCACAATCGGAGTGGCACGCGGGAAGTGATCTTTAAAGTTTTCCAGCGATGTTTCGAAGACTACCAAGCTGGACGAATTTTGTGGGATTTGGATGATGTTTATGGGCGAACAGCATCTATGACGGGTATGTAATCGTGTAACTATTTGTTTGTAATCTGCCTGAAGTTACAAATTTACTCAATTATCTACCAATTTTGAATTAATTGCTTCATGTCAATAAGTTATTGTTTCTATTCCGTTACATATTTTTTTACCTTTTTTCAGGAAAATCAGAGAGTCGGATAGTCAACGAAGGTTTTAAGAATGATGGAAAGTTTGAAACTCCTGGGAAAACAGGCAAGGCCGACCAAAGAAAGAAATGGTCACATAAAGAACCATGGCCAGATGCTTTTAGTGAAGATACCTATCACTAATTTTACTAACTGCACATTTACAAATTGTTTCTATAAATAAACTTTTTATATACTATAAAATGATTTTTAGTATTATTTTCTTAACAAGTGTGTTAAGAAACGTCGTATGATGATACTTGTGTATTGATGATTACCTAACGGCTCTGGTCTCAATGGCACCTCAGCGGTAATCACCAACATTACACACTTTTACACTATAAAGTACTATTTTATCTATAATAATTTTATTCTGATTCAATTAAATATGCTTTGCTAAACTTTTTATAAGCATAGGTACCTACTATATATAAAACAGAAACAAATTACGACTGTATAGTGTGTCTTATTAATCACCTATTTTACTTGAATGAACTGCTAGTATCAAAATCATTTTGGTCAGACTGTATAGGGTTGCTACATGCATACTAGTGGTGCCATCATTTAATGTTACGACTTTATAGACAAACTGTACATAAACACAATGGGTGTATTCCGAAATATAAACCAGTACGCTGGCCAGTGGTAATGACGTCATGATTTCGACGCCATATTGCACTGGTGTAGTAGTAGTGTTGTCAATATGGCGTCGAAATCATGACGTCATCACCACTGGCCAACGTACTGGTGTTTCATTCGGAATACACCCAAAAATTAGGAATGGTACATTAAAAGAATGAATGATATTTGAATGAACAGTTCTTGATGAATGAACAAAATGTTTATATATAATGAAAACAGAAAGTTTAATCTACTAGTTTAGTCCAGTACCCAGGGGCGGTTTATGCACTAGGCCCGCTAGGCCCGAGCCTAGGGCGCCGTGGCAGAAGGGGGCGCCACGGGCCGATAAATTTGAAAGATTAAAAGCGAGAAAGCGAACGTTTTAATCGGGTCCACTCAAACGTCAATATCGCCAATATAAAATATATATGTGCTCCATTCCTACCCACAAACCTACATTATATATGTATGATTGAAATTCTGTTTCCGTTAAATTATTTTTGAAATACACTCCCGCTCAAAAGTATGGGTTCACTTCTCGAAATTTTCAGCTTCGGTATAAGTTCCATATCTTGGTGGAAAAAGGTCGTAAGAGAATTTAATGAGCACCGTTTTGAAGGGGACAGTTTTAGCTTCACTTTGCCATTTTTTTATAATTTTTTACAATTTTTTTTATAGTCCCCACGCGCTTTTGAACATGGCAGTTTTTCGATGTTTTTTTGCCCTCTGGAAACGGGCTGTCTGGCTGTTAAAAAATTTTCCTTGCAATTTCATTCATCGCAGTTTCAAAGAGGATATTAAACACTGCATTTTTGTTTTTGAAAAAGTATCGTGCGATTTTTTTTACCAAAAATATTCTAATTTTCGACAAAAATTGATAATTTTATTCAATTCGGCGTATCTTGAAAACGGCGGGTGATCGAAGAAAATAGCAAGGGGGTGAAAAGTTGCAATAGATCATGATGGACCTTGTAGATTTATTTCAGAATTTTTTTACGACATTTGTTTTTTCGTACTCTTGCAGTCGAAATGATTTAAATTTTCTCATGATTTTTTCTTTTTTTTAGACGGCGCAGGCATTTTTTTTATTGGTTTTTGACGTAATTTTTACTAAAAATCAAATTTCGCACAATTTTTTGTACGTTTTTTTCATTTAAAAAAAATAATTTTTAGTTCAAATTACATCAAGATGAAGATGAAACCAATAAAAGCAATGCCTCAGCCGTTTAGAAAAAAGAAAGAATCATGGGAAAATTAAAATCATTTCGACTCCACGAGTATGGAAAAACAAATGTCGGAAAAAAAATCTGAAATAAATCTACCATGTCCATCATGATCTATTGCAACTTTTCACCCTCTTACTATTTTCTTCGATCACCCGCCGTTTTCAAGATACGCCGAATTGAATAAAATTATCAATTTTTGTCAAAAATTAGAATATTTTTGGTAAAAAAAATCGCACGATACTTTTTCAAAAACGACAATGCAGTGTTCAATATCCTCTTTCAAACTGCGATGGATAAAATTGCAAGGAAAATTTTTTAACAGCCAGACAGCCCGTTTCCAGAGGACAAAAAAACATCGAAAAACTGCCATGTTCAAAAGCGCGTGGGGACTATAAAAAAAATTGTAAAAAATTATAAAAAATGGCAAAGTGATGCTAAAACTGTCCCCTTCAAAACGGTGCTCATTAAATTCTCTTACGACCTTTTTCCACCAAGATATGGAACTTATACCGAAGCTGAAAATTTCGAGACGTGAACCCATACTTTTGAGCGGGAGTGTATAAAAATCATTTATTCTAGCCTGTGCTTTTTCAACTATTTTATGGAGAGGGGAGAGGGGGCGCTAATTTCGTCAGGCCTAGGGCGCCCGTTTTCGTAAACCGCCCCTGCCAGTACCCCTTGCACGAACCAATTACGAATTCGTATCGTTTGCGAGTACGAGATGTCATTGTCAAATGTGCACTGATTTTTAGTTCTCGTTACCTACTTTGTGCCGCTACTGTTAAAGTTTCCATACAAAATTTAACATTGACATTTCGGTTTACAAACTATTCGAATTCGATAATGGTTCGTGCTAGGGGTACTGTACTACTGATGCGTCATAAGACGTGTGGACAGTCACACCGGACGTCCGGCCAGAATACCTTTGTTGCGTGCCACAAAAACCGACAACTAACGGATTGATAGCAGTCGCATCTGCGGACGTTAAATACCTATCACAGACGTGCAAACTACCCCGTTTACACGTCGGCGGATGCATCTGCAGATGCTGTAATATACATCTGTCTACGTGTAGAGGGGTAGGCTTGTTGAAAATATATCGATGTGTCGATATATCGGTATTTTTGGACGATATATCGATATTTTTTGCCGATATATTTTGATTCGATATATCGATACAAAATAACCAATATCGAAATTCGTATCAAAAACGATATTTTTTTAATTATTAGCGGCATATCACGATCTAACTAAATTCGTATCTGGAAAAATCGTAACTGGATCTCACATTAATGATATTCAACATATCTATGATCTATGTTGTATTAGGTATTGTCTATTATTTGTAAATCTGTTTCGCTGGTCAATTGGTTGTGCTGATTTCCATTATATTCTGTGGAAGTGTGTGACTGTCTAGTCTTGTTTACGAAAGATGGCACCTGAAAGGCCTTGCAATCATTTTCATCATTCGAAAATAGGGTCTATTTTTTGGGAGATAATTTTCGTGCCATTATTATTCCGCGTGTCATATTTCGTGAGATACTGTACTGTCATGTAGTGTAACTTCAAAGTATCGAGTACATTTCATAGGGTCTGATATCGAATCCTCTGTGGCCTGATGAGCAACCATGTATGTTAAAACTCGGAGTGGGGGGGGGGGGGGGTCCGGGTTAAAATTGAAAGAAAAACAATTAAATTCTATTATAGTACGTATAATCAAAAACAAAAAAGGACATGACTGTAAATTCACAAATTGCTATATTGGTGCCAATTCTGGCGTGATTCTCTAAACTTAAAACTAAATTTAACATCAGTGGTGTCAATTCTGACACGATTCTCTAAACCTAAACTTAAATTTGACAACAGTTTATCCTTGTCATTCTCTATATGGAATGAAAAGGAGAGATTGATGTTAAATTTAGTTTTAAGTTTAGAGAATCATGCCAGAATTGACACCAATCTCTCCTTTTCATTCTGTATAGAGAATGACAAGGATATACTGCTGTCAAATTTAAGTTTAGGTTTAGAGAATCATGCTAGAATCGATACCATTATCTAGCTACTCTTAAAAATGTGTATTGTTAATATAATCAACTAAAAAACTAAACGTGCATAATTAAATAAATAATGAAAGGAAAATAGCTGTGATTTCTGTCACTAAAAAAGTGTGTATTAATATTACATTCATAATTAAAATGTGAATTGAAAAGATCGAAATATTAAACAATTTAAAAGTATGAAACTTTTCAGATTTGTTACAAATTAAACTTACTTTTCTTGAATTTTAATCAAAAGAAACATTATACACAATCATGTTAACTTGCACCTGACACGCAGTAACGGCGGCCATTGGCATGCTTCACTCAAGATTATAATTATAGAAGAGGTTACGTCCGTCTTTTTTTCAGGTCCGTGGTTTCAAATAGGTGGTTTCAGACAGCACAGACAGTCAAGCGAAAAGCACAATAAACCGTGAATCAATCACAGTTCCAAAACTAAAACGAAGCGCAAAATAAACACAGTCACAGATTGGAAAGAATTCGAATATGTCAGTTAATGGTGACGATTCTGGCACGATTCTCTAAATCTAAACTTAAATTTGACAACAGTGTATCCTTGTCATTCTCTATACGGAATAAAAAGGAGAGATTAAATTAAATTGTTTTTGGTTTTAAGTTTAGGTTTAGAGAAACGTGTCAGAATTGACACCACTGGAACGTTTTAGGTTTGCTATGATGTAAGATGGCGTTTCCATCAATATGAGGCGCCTCTCCAAATTTTTAATGTAGTTTTTTTTTGTAGTATAATAGCCAAAAAGTTCTCATTTAGTAAAAGTATTGAATACAAAAGTATCGCTATCGAAAGGAAAAGTACTCGATACTTTTTTCGTGTCCCTACATTGGCCATGGTGTTTCATACATTTCATGATGTAAAAATGAAATTGTTTTTGCCCTCAAAAATTCTGAAATAAGATTTCACACCAGAACTATGATTCCCTAATCGTGGTTTAAATTAGTGAAAAAGTGAATTTAAATAATAAAAAGAGCTCTACGCAAGTCTTAGGATTGATTTACTTTGGACTATCTCAAAATTAAATTTGCACTAGGTTATGTAATAGAACTGCTAAACTATGTCCAATAAATATAGACAAATATGGGCTAGAATAAGATGCTATAAGAATCGCTCTTCAATACTTGCTGTTCCCAGTTTGCGACGTATACCTTTGAGAGGTCCAGTTGTTTCTTCTACTATAGGTTTTACGTTGTTCACTTGGTTAGGGTTTGAAAAAAACACTCTTTCTGCTGAAGATGAACTTGTATACACAATTAAACATTGTGTACTTTTTATCCAAAGAGATGAACATGATAAAGCTGAACAACTTTTACATGTAGCTTTAAGACAAGCCCAGCAAATCCAGCATCAACTGGGAATCACATACATCTATGATGTAATGGCAAATTTGGCATTAGAACGTGAACAGTTGGATAAAGCAAAACAGTTATTTGTTACTGTAGCTCAAAGAATACTTGCAGATGGTGCCACAGAGGATGATCCACGTATGGTACACATAAGCTCAAAGCTTGCTAGAATAAGTCACTTGAAAAAAGAATATACTACAGCGCAAATAGGATATGATTGGTGCATAGCTAAACTACAACAATTAATTGAAACTACAACAGATGATGTCTCTACCAAGAAACTTCTTGCTATGACTCAAGATTGGTATGGCAGATTGTTTATAGATTGTAATCAAGGTGAACAAGGTCTTTCATTAATGCTTAGTGCTTTAGAATTAATGAAGGAAGTACCAGATGTTGAAAAAGAACATATTGTTATACAACTTAACGACATAGGGACAGTCTGTGATAAACTTGGAAAAAGTGATGACAGTATAACCTATCTACAAGAAGCTATTGCCTTAGGAAAAGAATTGAAAATGGATGAATTAGGCACCATGTATGTTAATCTAGGTAGAGCATACCTCAAAAAGAATATGATAGCAGAGGCTACCAAATCATGTGGTTATGGATGGAAACTTGGAACAATGTCTAAAAATAACATCATTAAGCAGGAAGCAGAATCATGTATAAAGGAAATAAAAAATCATAGTTAATGTTACACACATTTATTTTACAGAAAAAGAAAATATCTTTAAAAAAAGTTTTTAATCTTAAAAATATAGACCCTGTAAAATATTTGCATGTCAAATAATATCAGTTGAAATATTTTTAAATGCACTGGTAATAAATTTTGCCAAATTATACATAATTGAGGCATCATTGAACAAAATATATAACTTATTACTAAATTCACTGAGCACTATCTTTTGTAACACTGAATGGTTCTGAAACAACCTCTGCCCTTGTTCCGGTGATCTCAATATCCTTAACAGGACGATCATTTGCTCCAGTTGTGGTCTTTTCAATTTTTCGTATTACATCCTGAAAATGATAACCAGAATGTCAAAAATAATTTTCAAACATCATCAGTAATGCATAATATTTTAAAGCATTACTTTACATACCATGCCTTCTAGAACCTTGCCAAACACAACATGTCTGCCATCAAGCCAAGGTGTCTTTGAAGTAGTTATAAAGAATTGAGACCCATTGGTGTCTTTTCCCGCATTAGCCATTGACAACCAACCAGCACCATAGTGACGGAGCTTGAAGTTTTCATCTTCAAAGCGTTCTCCATAAATACTGCGACCTGCGCATAATATATTTTTTTTAAACATTACTCTTTTTTTTCCTAAGTAATTATTATATAATAATGAGTTTGTTTATTATGTCTTTGCATCTAAAGTGCTGAATTAATAATGATTAATTTCGGTAAGGCTTAAGCCCTGTAAACAGTTAAAGACTACTTTCTCTCATCTATATATAATTTGAGGGGGTAATATTTTTTCAGAAACCAATTATTATTCAATAAAGCTATGGGCACCTGCTAGTATATAATAATTATAATTACTTGTCTTAGCACAAGGGGCCTGATTATCTTAATTTGACTACACTCTCCTTTTCAATCAGAAAGTGCATGACAAGGATGCACTGCTGTCAACATTCAATTTTAGCTTTAGACAATCACATCGAGTCAGTCCCAGTGTTGTATAAAAACTTTTATTTTTATTGTTGGCCTTGTAGATTTTAATCAAACCAAGTTTTCCTATATATATGCATTTCATGGATTTTGCCCATTATTTTTGGAATCAGTATAGGTATTTCTTGAGTTTCTGTCACAATTATCTAAGGTCTTGCATAACTGATAACCTATCATACGAGGACGGGATGATAAGTAACTAGCCTCTGCTTTTTAAAAAGTTAAAATTTAAAAAATATATGTCATTCTTAAATTCGTATCTCTGGCCACCTGTGTTCTAAATTTGAATTTGGTGACGCGAAATTTTATTGATTTTTTGTCATTTGAAAATATATTTTGTCAACTGTTTTCAAAATGGATGAAATTGAACAAAGAGCGGCGACGAAGTTTCTTCATATGAAGGGCATGTAGAGGAAAGATATCTATGACGAGTTGAAGAATGTTTTGGGTGAATGTGCTCCTTATGCCACAGTAATAAACTGGGTAGCTGAGTTTAAACGCGGTCGTACATGTGCCCAAGATGAAGCCCGCCCCGAACGTCCAAAAAGCGTCACGACTCCGGAAATGGTCGTGAAAGTACATGATATGGTTTTAGCATATCGACGTAATCGATCGACTAACACTACAGGTATCTCAAAAGAACGGGTACATCATATCCTGAGTGAGGAATTAAATATGAAAAAGTTATCGGCCCATTGGGTGCCGTGATTGCTTACGCACGATCAAAAAAGTATTCAGGTGCAAAACACAAAAAATGTCTGGACCATTTTCAGAGTAATAAGGCCGGTTTTTTATGTCGATTTGTAACAACAGATGAAACATGGGTTCATCATTACACGCCAGAATCAAAAATTCAATCAAAACATTCAAAACAGTGGACTCAATGTTCAATTTCATTCATTTTGAAAACAGTTGATGAAATATATTTTCAAATGACAAAAAATCAATAAAATTTTCTCGCCACCAAATTCCAATTTAGAACACAGGTGGCCAGAGATACGAATTAAAAAATGGCATATATATTTTTAAAATTTTAAATAGCAGAGGCTAGTTACTTATCATCTCGGTCCTCGTATTTTCTGATAGCAGAGTAAAATGTTATTTTCAAACCTGTATACAATTTTTATATAGGAAATGTATTTCTAAAATTTGTCATTGTAATTTTAAAATATATATCATCATCATCAACCCATGTTCGTCCACTGCTGGACATAGGTCTCCTCTATGGCATAAATATATATCTTAACTAATATTTTAAATGCAAAAGTGAGTTTGTTTGCAAAGCTTTCACTCCTAAACCGCTGAACGGATTTGGATGAAATTTGGTACTCATACTTTATGACTGGGATTGAGACAGGACACCTTTTATCCCGGAAGTGTTAGGTTTACATTATAAAAAAATTCAAGTAAACATAGGCAAAGTCACAGGCGGCAGCTAGTAGTAGAATATTTAGGCTAAATTTAATTCAAAATATACTTTGATCTATACAAACAATAAAGTTGTTTTCCACATCTGTATGTACATTGACTAACTTCTAAACCAACTAATTTTTACAATACAAACCCAGGAACAAAGCTATAGTCCTTGCTGAAGCGAGGAAGGGTCACTTATAAAGTATAAGGAACTATCTTTACCTCCGGTGCCATCTCCTTTAGTGAAATCACCACCTTGAATCATGAAGTTGTCGATAACTCTATGGAATTTGCTGCCCTTATACCCTTCACCTTTGGGTTTTTGTGCTAACTGATAAAAGTTTTCTACAGTTTTAGGAACAGTATTTCCAAATAATCCAATGGTAACAGTACCAATATTTTCATTACCCATAGATATATCAAAAAAGACCTGAAAGAAGAGTAATTTAAAATTGTAATCTAAAAATAAAAGTTATACCTACAAAGTGGTTTACACAGCTTAGGCGTGGGTAGGCGTTATAAATTGATACACAAAGAACATCCTGATACTTCAATGACCTCAATCACTAAAAAGGCGCTTTAAGATCAACATTTATGAAACACGTAAGCAAAGTAGAAGACATCTTTATTGTCCACTCCAATAGCGATTAGAGAACAAAAAAAAATGGTTGCCTGTAAAGTCGGTTTTACGGGCGAAGATTTTACGTGACAACGTCTTTTTCTCGGTAGAATATTTATTGATATGAATATAATTAAATTGCACAATAGGAACAAGGAATTGAATGAAAATAAGAATTGCACAAATTTTAACTATAGAAATATATTTTGTTTACTAAAACATTGTACATGTAAACTTAAACTTAACACGAGAGACTCATCGTAACGTTACCGAGCGTTACACTTTTTCATAAGTGACTCCCAGCCGCAACCTAATTTAAGACGTTGTCACGTCAAAAGTTGTAGCGTCATTTTAACGGTCACCGATCGCGGTATTTGTAAAGTTCATGAACCCTTTAGCAACCTTCAAAATTTTACATTAAATGTTTCCTCAATACTATTATTTTCTGCATTTTTCTTACTTACCTTATGAGTAACTTTTGGTCCTTTAGGAGCGTCATCCGACCAAGCGCTAGAAATTAATAGAAACAAACCCAGGGCGGTCACTATTGCACCCATGATTACAAATTAATAATGTATTTCTTCTTTTAACAATTTTCACGAATAAATAACGATACTCTTAAAAAAATAATTTCTACTTATTTCGATATTTTACAGCAACAACTATAGCGATAGTATTATCTGAGAGAAATTCTATCTCACAATCAACCAACTCCAAAAACACCTCGACATGTGACGTGTCAGTGCCTGTGAAACAAATGACAAAAATGGGAGATATGCGAGCGAATGACATAGGATAGGGATAACCGGTCTGAATCAATCTTGTGGAAAATCGATTATAGACATCGCGTTAAATTGTTTTTTTAAATCGATTCAATAGGATATGATATTTTCCAAGATTGAATCGTAAGACCTTAAGCATTGAACTGCTAGATCTTTAAATTTAATTTAAAGTGAAATGAAAGAATGGACAATGAGAGGACATTGAAAGCCTTTCAGTGGAATGCCATGTTGAACTGTTGTGTGTGGAATGAACCCAACGAAGAAAGAGGTACCTACGTGCCGTTGTTACAATTTGCGAAAATCACGTAAGTTCCTCCTTCGGTTATGGATTATAGATTATACAATTTCCTTGGTCGCTATTTCTTAATATAGAATGAACTCTTGTAAATGTTTTTTTTTTAAGAATGAGTAGTATTTGCAGGTCAGAACTCTCAAATTCTCAATATAAATCGTAAAGATAGATAGTAGATATTTAGTTGTATGTGGTGTTTGTAAGGCTTAAATCTAACTTCCTGGGTTTCTAACCTCTGTGAAGTAAGCCCCCCACTTTTTGAATTATATTATTATCTAGGTTGTTCTGGGTTGTTCTATGTTTGTTCTACATTGTTCCAAAGTATTATTTGAAAAAACCCAAACTTGAAGCCATCAGGCAAAAAAAACCGTTTTTGAGATAGCCCCCTTATGTTTGGAAATTCATTATTTTTTTTGTTGTTCCAAGTTGTTGTAGTTTTTCCTAATATTGTTCCTAAGTATTAAAATCTTCTATTTGTAAAATAAAATCGTACCAGAGACAATAAATAAATCCAAAATCATTTTAAACAATGACGATTGTACAACAACAGTACAACCGTGGGCTATATCGTTCCAATCTCATGTAATCATTTTGAATAAAATTAATTATTATAAGACAAGAAAACATTGGAATATAGGGTAAAGTCCCTAATTGTTGGCACTTTAAGAGTAGGTAGCATGTCAGACATTAAATTACCAGAAAATCACACCTAAATGAGCTAGTACACAACACATGTAACAGTATACAAGAAAATAGTTTAATCTTTGTTTTCATAATAGTACAGTCAATGAAGGCAAAAATCAGCTACAACCTCCGATTTCGTTGAACGATTTTCATGAAAATTGGTAAGTAGGTGAGGGATACAGGATACCTTAAGAAACAAAAGTGACATAGTGCTCGGGGGTGAAAATTATTTTAATTAAAATAACTAAAATTTTATGCAAAATTTTGGAGTTTACTCCTTAAGAATCGATTTGCATATTTATGGGGCCCGGTATTTTTAAAATGTGAGGAGTAAAATCTATCGATGAATGACCTCGTTACGTTTTTGGTGCGCATCCTGTTCGAGCCAAAATGACTCTTAAATCCGAGAGCTTAGGTGCAAAAGAATTAAATTGAAACTACAGTGTATATTGTTAGACCATAGATTTCTTTATTAGTTAGGTGACGTTTTGCCTATATGTAGCTCTTGTGTAGCTCCAAACATATTTACAAGCGTGATGCAACGAACTACAGCGCCATCTATTTTGATACATATGAACTAAAATTTTAAATGCACAAATGGCGTATGTAAAAAGTTTAATGTAAAATATTTCGTCGATTAGTTATAATAAATGTATATGAAATGAATAAATATATATTTATATATGTATATTATTTTCATTAATTTATCCTTTCATACAGTATCAATCTTTTGACGTGACAACGTCTTAAATTAGGTTGCGGCTGGGAGTCACTTATGAAAAAGTGTAACGCTCGGTAACGTTACGATGAGTCTCTCGTGTTAAGTTTAAGTTTACATGTACAATGTTTTAGTAAACAAAATATATTTCTATAGTTAAAATTTGTGCAATTCTTATTTTCATTCAATTCCTTGTTCCTATTGTGCAATTTAATTATATTCATATCAATAAATATTCTACCGAGAAAAAGACGTTGTCACGTAAAATCTTCGCCCGTAAAACCGACTTTACAGGCAACCATTTTTTTTAAGTTAAATAAACTCTTTTTGCGTCTGGTTAGACTATCGAACTTAAGGAGTAAACTCCAGTCGTGCGTCGAAGCTGACACACACACACTTTTTTTTTTATATTAAGTTTTCGGAATAAATCAATACTTTCTGAGTTATTAAAGATCAAAGATTGTGATTTTGTGTGATAAAAATATGTACATGTTTTAAGCGGTTTTTCATAAATAACTCAAAAACTATGAGTTTTACAAAAAAATACTATTTACCAAAATTAAAGCTAATAAGAAAAAAAAATGGTTGCCTGTAAAGTCGGTTTTACGGGCGAAGATTTTACGTGACAACGTCTTTTTCTCGGTAGAATATTTATTGATATGAATATAATTAAATTGCACAATAGGAACAAGGAATTGAATGAAAATAAAATTGCACAAATTTTAACTATAGAAATATATTTTGTTTACTAAAACATTGTACATGTAAACTTAAACTTAACACGAGAGACTCATCGTAACGTTACCGAGCGTTACACTTTTTCATAAGTGACTCCCAGCCGCAACCTAATTTAAGACGTTGTCACATCAAAAACAAACAAACCCCTAGTTTGAAAAACATTCTAATATAATTCGAAGTGAGCTATAGGTAATTGTATGTATATTTTTTTCGGCAAGTACTTAAATCTAAGTATTCAAACCTAAATAACGGGAAACCGATGAATTTTATGACTCATAGGTTTTGAGTTATTTATGAAAAACCGCTTTAAAGGTGTATTTTTATCATGTAAAATCACAATCTTTGATCTTTAATAACTCAGAAAGTATTGATTTATTCCAAAAACTTTATCTAACTCATTTTGCTTACAATTTGTCTCCCTATCGATTCCTGGAGTTATTTTTATTAAAATAATTTTCACCCCCGAGAAGGGGTGGCATCTACCCCCAAGGCAAAAGCACAAGTTGGCACCATGTAACTTCTTTTGCTTAAGGTATCCCCCACCTACTCACCAATTTTCATGAAAATCGATGGAGATTCAACGAAATCAGAGGTGAAAATCTTCATCGACTGGACTGTAACTAATAAAATTGTATGTGATTGAATGGTTAATAATAGAAATTGGGACCACTTCTGACGTTACATTCTCTAAACCTAAACTTAAAATTAGAGAGCTAGTTTTAGTTTAGATTTAGAAAATTGGTATTCTGAAATTACGAAATAACTAAATTAAGAACACAATTGACTTGACAACTGTAAACGAGCATCTAAATTGAATTGACAGATTATGAAAAATCATTAAACCGGTAATTATCGCTTTACTCAAATTAGCAATAAGTACTTATCACTCAGTGATTTTGACTTATTTCAGTAATTCTTTATTGTTCTTCATCATCTTTGAAATGTGGAAATTTAACATAAGTTTGTTAGTTTGAGAATATATGAATCAATATTAAAGAGTGAATAATTTCCTACTATGTGGTACTTAGGGTTTCTAGATTGAGACTTTTATCCTTATTTTGGGGGAAAATATGAACTTGGGGAAAATCTGCGGGGAGAACTTTAGAAATCATATTTTTTATTAAAGCTTGCCTGATTAATTTTTTTTTTGGCAAAAGGTTGGGAAAATCCACCACTTCTAAAATTAAATGCAAATATAGGTACCAACTAGATTTTGGTATCTAACAAATCTATTATGGAGGATCAGTGACGAAAGACCGTGTCGAGTCCGAGCCGAGCGTCAGCCGTAGCAAAGTCACCGATCTTCTCCCGTACCTGTAATTTACAAAGTCATTAGGTAGATACCGTTACGCCGTGATGCAGTCTACTCATACAGATAAAGTAAATAGGGTATATGTACTCGTCCGAGCAAAATCATTTTTTTTATCTGAAGTATCACTACCATTGCCCGGCGGCATCGCGCCAGCGCTGTATTCATGCAACGGGCTTTGGTCAACTTTTTTCCGAGCGTTGTTCGTTTGTTGCTCGGTTGTCAGTCGGTTACCGCCCGGAATAGCGTGAATAGGTCCATAATTCATGTAAAATATATTATTTAATATAAGTTAACTCTGCTACGGCCGACCGCCGCATTTCTTTTTCTTTTTAGATTTTCCACATCTCTACGCATTGTATTCATTACAGGTGTCAAGTTGTGCATGTTATGAGTGCGTCAGGTTTGGTTTTTTACATACACCAATAGTTAAAAAACACAAAACATAAAAAAAAACAAAATAAAAATTAGAAAACGGGAAAAGATCAGCGAGCGCCTTTTTTTCTTTTTCGTTTTTCCACATCTGCTCGAATTATATTCATTACAGGTGTAAATATGTGTGTACGTACGTGTTCTAAGTACGTTCATCTAGTTATAAAACCAAAGATTAAAAACAAAACAAAATCAAAAATGAAAAAAAACAGATAAAAATACAACATATACAAAAAAATTACAAACTAAAAAAAAGGGAAGGACGTTAACAACCTATACGTGGTCCTTCCTGCATACGCGCAAACCGTTTGGCTACTACCACGTAACTAATGTTAACAACCAAGGTATATTGTAAATATCTTTTTGTAACTATAAATGATTACTGATGATGATGATGATTATGATACTAATAGTAGTATACTTATATATGTATACTAGATTGAAGTTCAACTGTCATCACATTCATCATACTTATTATTTAATTGTAGAGCTCTTGCAGAAGTATCCAAATTTGTTGTTATATAAACAATCATTTTTCGTAACGAGTGTTTAAATACATTCGGTTTAACGAACGATTTTAATTATTTGTTCATCACGAAACATAAGATGATACAGCGTAAGATGAGCAAACCGTTTCAATTCAAGCATCAATGTAATGCGCAGTTAAATTCGTGCGTCCGTACACAGAATGAAATTAACGTCATCAGTACGACGCATACGAGTAACGAAATGTATTCATGAGTAACGATTCGTTACTTGAAGTCAGGTGATGTACCCGTTACTTGATAACGAATACATACGGTTTGTTACCACGGTTCCCAACTTAAGGGTTTTGTCCCCAGATTTAGGGGCTAGAAGGGTTAAAACGGACTTTTTTAGATGCTGGAATTTTTTGGGGGTTCTTTTAGCGTGTGCATGTAAAACAAAGCGTGTGTTTTCTTTCAGTTTTTGCGTAGAATGGAACGCACCACGATATGAAACGACTGAACTGATTGTGTGGCAGATTGTTTTCTAAGGCTGTATGGACTAAAGTTCTTTGCCTTCCATCAATCAAAACAGGTAAATAAGATTTAACAGCGAAAAAAAGCGCG